TATACCTGTTGATAAATATCAACATGATTGGCGAGTATCACACCAAATTGCAATAAGAAAAGACTGGAAAATAATGTTGCTTACTTAGTCTGAACTTACAATTCTTCTAAATGCGAGAATAAAACCGTTACTCCTACAAATGAAAATTATGAAATCAACAATAAAACAACCTTATTTTAAAGACAATAAAATAGAGAATTTTTAACAATCATTTGTACGTTTGGTGGACTAAAGTGCGTTTTTTTTTTTAAAGATAAAAGTCAAACTGACATTATGTTGGCAATACAATGTAAAATTGTCAATGCTTTCAAATTTTTCATGTAGAAAAGGCTTGTGTTGCCAACATAGTTACTAAATTTTTGACTTGGGGAATTATCTTTTAAAAAAAAACACACTTTATGAAGTTTTCGAAATTTTTCAGCATAAAGAAACCATTAATTCGCAGAATTCAGTTCTGCAGATTTATTCTGAATTCGGATGTTGAGGATGCTACAATATTAGAGAAGGAATAACAAATTTTGATTTTTTACCTGATAACCTTAACGGTGAAAATTATGAAGAATTTTCACGTAACAACTTGTATGAGCTACTACAAGATGTCCCTTTAGCGAACAGGCAAACAGATGATCTTCCAGCTTGACGGATGTCCTGCACACTATCGTCTAACAATAAGGGCACTCTTAGACCAAAGGATTCCGAATAGATGGATTGGAAGAGGTGGACCCATACCATGGCCTGTTAGGAGCCCTGATTTAACTCCTGTTGCGATATTGCGACAGAACTTTTCAAATCGAGTAACCAGGACAGAAATACGAAGACGGGCTCGTAATTGCATAAGGAATGGGGTTAGTCATTTTGAAAATTAATGAGTTATTGATTAAATTGTATCAAAAAGTTTTTCCATTTCATTTTGAGAATGTTGTTTTTTTTATTATGATAGGAAATACATTTTTTCAAATGGTAATTATTGTTTTATTATGGAACGAAAAAATTAGGTGCCAATTGTGAACTATTTGAAAGAGAATGCATTCAACAATGCTTGGCCATAGAGTGCCAGTAATTTATTATGAAAATTTCAAAATTTTCAAGCAGAAAATAATAATTACTTCTTTACTAAAAACTATTACTATTAGCTACTAAAAAATTTGATAAAATTTTTATTGCAACACTTGATATCCAAAACAGGTATAAATTAGAATTCTGTTGAAAATTATATCGTCTCTCCTTAAAATAAAAATAATTTATTTAACAAGAAAGCAAAAAGCTAATTCTGAAATAATGTACCTTATCTTGGAGACAATAAAATGGAGTACTTTTGCCAATTATTTGTACGTTTGAAGTACTATGAAATTTTCGATATTTTTAGGGTTAAATAAGTCATTAGTTAGAAACTTAACAAGAAAAGTTAAGTTTAAACCGCAATAACTCAATAGTTAACATTAGTGTTTCGATAATTTTCAATGCTGATATTTTTGTCAGTGTGTCAGCTTAAAATTTAAAACACGACTTTCAGAAAGGTCCTTATTATTTTCGTTAATTTTAAATATTTGCCTCATAAGGTAGTGAATTTTATAAAAATTAGAAAAATGAAAATATCGCGAAAACCGTTAAGAATGGTATAGAGGTAAATAGTGTTTAATCGGTAGCAAATAGGCTCTAATGTCATCTCCTCAAAGGAATACGTCCACTTACCAGTCACCCTGTATACATATGTATTACCAACTATATTTTTATAAAATCTTACAATAATTTCTAAATGATTAAAACCATAATTCAAAATTTCAGCACTTAAGGTCATCAATGTTACAACATGAACAAAAATTTTCAAACAAAACTATTTATCAATTTAATCAGAACAATTACTATTTTCGGATTCCTAGCCAACAAACACAATTATTTAAATTCTTATTATTTCGTTACTATATCCCTTCAACTTCAATTGGACAATCCAATTCAAAAATTCCTTAATAATTCCTACTCAAAATCGAATATAGCTAAGAGCATTATAATTTCCCCTTTTAATTCTTTGCAAAATTAATTAAAATGTCATTATACTCGAAGACAATTAAATTTATGCAATAATGTTCCATAGTCAAAACACTCGAGTTATTAATATTTATGCAATAAAGTTCCAAAGTTAAGTCACTTCATAGTCATTCATCATTTATAAAGTTAAAAAGTTTTACTAGTCACAAGAGTACTCACATTTAACTTTTCACACGTGAAATTACTTAATTTAATTTACTTCAAAAATCTCTAGAGCACGCACATAATATTGAACGAATTTAAATGTTCTTTCTTTCACAATTTTCCGTTACTATTTCAAGATTCAATCAAACGCGTTTTCCCCCAAGGCAAAAATATAAGAAACTCTTCGCGAATTTTTATCCGGACTGATTCATTAGGTACTGTAGACTTTAACTCAAACTGGACTGAACTTAAACTCAACTCAACTGATAACTGGTAACTCAACTGCCCTCCACTTCTAAAACCGCTGTATTTATCTTTTCCGATTCCCCCCAAAATATTATTAATTACCAACCAAAATCGACAATGGGCGGTCGTTTGACCATCTATAATTTAATTCTATTGGTCGAGCAGTCGACCTAGATTTTATTCCAAAAACTAATTTCATCATTTTTAGAGGATGATGCAATCGTTCGAAATTTTTGTCATTTTGGGTCCAATTTAATTAGGTGCTCAACCTTGTAATTGATCTCTTCCGGGTTTTTATTTGTTTAATATCGAATAATAATGTCGCAATTTCCTGGTTTATCGGGGTCAACAGATTTGGTTTAAGAATGTGAGGACAACTCAAAGAAAACCGACAAACCGATTTAATTACTTTGGCCTCGCTTTTAATAAGTTCATTGATTTGATTTAGGAGATGACATCACGCTTGGTGACTAAATAATAAAATTTTAACGTATATAAATATTTTAATTTAATTTGGGGTCAATGCTAATTTGTTTATTTTTCAATTTATCGATACTGATTTGAAATACCGGAAATTCAGTTTTTGATTATTTGATTACATTTAATTTTTACAGTAAAGACATTGTAATTTACGGGTCTATTTTCGCAGATCATTCCATCAGTTTATTGTTGGAATGGTAATTTTGACAGATGTATGAAATTCTCACTGTCATATTATATCTGGCAGCCTTTATTGTCAAATGTTACTGCATGGTTTTTTTCCACCATTTTACTCACCGATAGCAAATTGGCTTTGAAATCTGGAACACACAAAAATACATGAACTGGCTAATATATTCTAACAAATTAAAAATTAATCTTGACAAAACTAAACATATGTATAATAAACAAGAAAACAAACAGGTTGAAAATATCAATGTTCAAACTAACAACACACAATTAGAGTGAGTAAGTTGATAAAATAAAATATTGAGTGTATTCGCATCTTTTTCTAAAAGCGTGTAAATTATAAGAATAGAGATACATTTTGTTCCACTGATTCTGCAAATGGAAATCGCTATGAATTGGACTGATCATCTATGATTGATAAGATTATTCCTATGATTGCTGCAATGTATAAATGTAGAAATTATTTAACACAAAAGTCTAAATTTATGGTATACAATGCCTTCTTTCTATCCCATCTTCGGTACTTGCTACTCATATGAGGCACATGTAGTCAAACTCATTTCAAGAAAGTTCAAATAATTCAAAATAAAGTATTGAAGGTATTGTATAATTATGATATAGGGAATTAAATGTGTAAAATTAATGTCTCACTACAAATTGAGCAATGTAAACTTATTTACAGAATATTGAATAAGCAGCAAAAATGTAATTCTTACATACTATCAAACATAATTTTGCAAAATCTAATTACTCAAGCGTCTAAAGTATTGAATAAATTACCAACAATAATAAAAAACATACATAGTTATACTTTTCTCAATCATTTGAAGAAACATTGTTTTGGGAACTTAGGGTAGAATGAATTTAGAATTTATATTAGACTATTAGACTAAAGCTTAACATGAACACAGCTTAACTTGAGGAATTTATTCTCGAGGCCAGTGCTTGAAGCACTGTTTAGGAAATCTTACAGAAAAAAACATGTATTTATATATGTTTATAATTTTGTAATATAGGTATCTTGTTTCAAAAAAAAACATAATGTTAGAAGTAACCTTAGAACCATTTTTCGTAAAAACTGTTGTATTCCCAACAACAATATTATTCAGTTTTTGGTTGGCTTAATTTTTCTATAGGATTACATTTATTCTTTTCATCTTTGTTTTTATCACGAGTGTTATCACACCACTGTTGGTATACTGATTCTTGAAGTGACCGAACAGCCCACAGTTAAAGCATTTTATATTTTTCCTGTTAAATTGCTTTTTATACTTAAAATGCTGTCTCAGACTTTTCTTTTCTATAGCCATTACCATTGGATCATAGTCTGCGATTAGTCCACTCAATAATATCACTCCTAAAAAATCATCGTCTAGCTGAGCGAGTGACATAGTTACACGCATATAATTTCATAGTTTCGAAGTTTTCTAGTCTGACTAGCTCGAACTAAACCACGTATTAGGGCTAATCTTCTAAATAGACCTGTATCTTCACATGCTTTTTCAAGGTTTTACCATGCTTTTTTTGATGCGCTTGCTGACCTGACATGAGGATATGCTGAGGGATGTAACATGAGGCAAATTTTAGCTAAAGCCTTCTGGTTTCAACGTTCTCGTTCTTCCTGCTTTGATTTATCTTCAACAGCAAAACTTTCTATACATCGCCATAAATTTTCATGTATCAGAACCATTTTCATGCCAAATTTCCAATTTTTATAATTTTCTCGATCAGTGAGTACCTATATCAAATCCTAAATTCACAATAATAGCAGATAGGTAGTTCTGGATTCAAAAATATGATACTGATCTAAAAACGGGGTGACTTTTTGAATTAATTGAGGGATACTTACTCACTTACTCAAGTTCCTCCTTGGATTCTATTCTGGACATTTCCAGGAACCAAATTATGGCCTACCGTTACTTGGCAAGAAACCAACCGATTCCCCAAACAATTCTGATGGCCCTGCAGGGAAAACGGCCGGACGGATCTCCGTTGCAACCTCCGACTCCACCTCCTGGCCAGGTATATAAATTTCACACATTAAGGTCTGTTTCAACACAGCAGGGAACCGTAAATTGTACAGTCACGATTCTGAACAAAGCATAAAATGTGTGCGTAGAAACCAAAATTCGAAACCTTTCATGGGACGGTTTTTGACGTGTTGGAACAGACCTAATATATTCCATTTATAATATTAACTGATATCGCAGGAAGGTCCGAGGGACCCTTTAGAAGCTCCTCAAGAATTACCCACCGGACCGCCAGTATCGGCGGCTGGACCGCCTCCGCCTCAACCGATGAGGCCGCCGCCGCCTACGATGCCGCCTCATCCGCATCCTTACCAACAACACCATGGACATCCAATGCAAGGACATCAACAGGTAAGCAATAAGAGACTCCGTCAGATCAATTTCATTGGTCAACAAGTTACCAAAACCCACTTTCAAGTAGTTGTAAGTTCAATTTGGTTTTGTTGTTATGATACTGGACTGAAATCGCTCTTACTATGAATTCATGGTTTTCCTAAGCTTTATTATTATTTATTATAGTAATACATAATTGACTCCCACAATATTAGAAATTCTTCTCTTTTTCGGTTCATAGATTCTCGAGTTCGAAAACATGTTATAGAATTCTTCTACTTTAAAGATTCACTGCAAATTTTCCAATAAATTAATCAATTTCTTTAGCAATATAAGCCCCAACCTCAAAGACCAGGCCCGATGCAAAATGCCAAACAAGCCAGAATAACTACGGTACCCAAACCCCTCGGCCTGGATCCGATTTTGTTGCTCCAAGAACGCGAAAACAGAGTGGCTGCAAGAATCGCAGCCCGCATGGAACAACTCACAAATTTACCAACAGACATGTCGGAAGATTTACGGATGCAAGCCCAAATCGAACTGAGAGCTTTGAGATGTTTGAACTTCCAACGGCAACTGCGCACCGAAATTATCGCTTGCACTCGACGCGATACCACATTGGAGAGTTCTGTTAACATGAAAGCTTACAAAAGAACCAAAAGACAAGGCCTAAGAGAGGCCAGAGCAACTGAAAAATTAGAAAAACAACAAAAACTGGAAGCCGAAAGGAAGCGTAGGCAAAAGCACCAAGAGTTCCTCAACTCAGTCTTGCAGCACGGCAAAGACTTTAAAGATTTCCACAGGAACAATCAGGCGAAAATGGGCAAACTTAATAAAGCCATTTTGAACTATCACGCCAACGCCGAAAGAGAGCAAAAGAAGGAACAGGAACGAATTGAAAAGGAACGTATGAGGCGGTTGATGGCTGAAGATGAAGAAGGCTACAGGAAGTTGATCGATCAGAAAAAGGATAAAAGGTTGGCATTTTTGTTATCGCAAACTGATGAGTATATTGCCAGTTTGACTGAGATGGTGAAGCAACATAAAGTTGAGCAACGGAAGAAACAGCACGAGGAAGAGAGACGCAAAAAGGTGATTATTGATTTAGTTTCTGTTAATCCTCAAAAGTTGTCAATAGATGAGAGAAGAAGAAGCTGTAGTTAGAGATCCTTTTGGGACTTGCAGTTTGTTTTCAATTGTAGCTGAGCTCAAAATCTACAGATTTGCATCAAAATATTGATTGAATTTGTTGCTATAGTCTGAGGTTTGAGAGTTTTCTAATGGCAAATGTAAGATTCTAGGTGTAAGTCCCAAAAAACTTTGATTTCATCTTCTTCTCTCATCTCTGAGGTCTCTTTTTCAAACTTCTTTCTGACATTATTTGGTAATTTTAGAGGAAACGAAAACGTTTGGCAGCCGAAGGCGTCCTAATCCAAGACGACGAAAGCCAAGAATCCGACAAACCGATCACCGTAATCGAAATGGCAACCGGTAAAAAACTAGCGGGCGAAGACGCTCCCTTGATGAGCCAGCTACAGATGTGGCTGCAGCAAAACCCCGGTTGGGAAATCGCCGACACTGACGACGAAGACGAGGACGAAGACGGTAATATTTGCTCTGAGTCAAATCACACTTTTTTAGCAAAAATATTCCAGGAGGCGATAAATCGAACGAAACGGCCAAAAGCGAAGAGGACAGGGCTCAATTAGTGATCAAAAAAGCTAAAGTAGAAGATGACGAGTATCACAGAAGTAGAGAGGAGCAAAGTTATTATGGCATCGCGCATACTGTGCATGAAATGGTTAGCGATCAAGCTTCTATTATGATCAATGGAAAGTTGAAAGAGTATCAAGTTAAAGGTAAGGAATTGGAATTTACTTCATACATTGCTATGAATTCGATTTAAGGCTTGGAATGGTTAGTATCACTATACAACAACAATCTAAATGGAATTCTCGCCGACGAAATGGGCCTGGGAAAAACCATCCAAACTATTGCTCTTATAACCCATCTAATGGAAAAAAAGAAAGTCAATGGGCCTTTTCTTATAATTGTTCCCTTATCGTGAGTAATTTTTTACAATTTTTATTTTTATTTAAGTCTAATATTTCTAGAACATTATCAAATTGGGTGCTCGAATTCGAAAAATGGGCCCCCTCGGTTATATTGGTCTCCTACAAAGGATCTCCTGCTGGAAGGCGTCAAATTCAAGGCCAAATGCGCTCTACCAAATTCAATGTCCTTTTGACCACTTACGAGTACGTCATCAAGGATAAAGGAGTATTAGCCAAGGTAAGAATTGTTAAGTTTATTATTGGTTCGTGATTGCGAATTAAGTATGTGGACGAATCCAGACCCAGGAATAATCAAAATTTGAACGAGAATCAACATTTTAAAAGAAATGTTACATTGTACTATACCAGCAGCTCCCCCACCATAAGCTCCCAAAGCAGACAGTCCAGCAAATAATGGAATAAGGGTTGAAATACATGGAAAATTGTTCTTTTCTCTTGCAAGTTGGCCCCCATCCTTCACCTTTTCGACCATTGAAAACCTCTGGCGTTTTTTTGAGATTGAGATCATGGACAAAATATTTCATGTTCCATCTGTACAGCTAGTTTTGAGGGGTTTCGGGTTCTTTAATGCGAGGTCATCAAGTCAAGCATATTTTTGATGCAGGACTCACCCATTTATAAGTTTTTGATTGTCTTTGGACGAACTTTTCTACTAATCAAGAACTAGTTATGATCAAAATTTGGTTTATTATCGGCTCTTGATTGCTTCAGAAAGACTATCCAACGAATCAAGTACTAGGAATCAATGTTTTGACTTTTATCGGCTTTTCAATCTCTATGAATTTTTCTGACGAGTCAAAAGCCAGTACCAATCAGAATTTTATTTATTATCGCTGCTTGAAGGAATATTCAGCGAATCAAGTATCGGATTTCAATATGCTAGAAGAGTTGCTTCATTGAAGCATTGATTAATGAAGTGATTACTGTGCTACTCTGGATTAGCTTTGTGATGTCAAATTCAATAATACCTTGGACATAAAGACCGTTTATTGACAAATTACTATATTTCCAGAGTATCGTCCTTTAACCGCTTGTACTGTACATTGCCGTGGTTTCTATGAAAACTCGAGCTTATGCCCTTTGGGCTAAACAATGCCCAGCAGTGTGGCACAGATTCTTCCATCGAATTGGACTTCAATAAATCTCAATCACAAAATATCAGCTTTCATGACACGTCATTCTCTACTGCTTTCACCTTCGGCAATTTTCAATCAGGGTCTTTTAAATGATGGATTTCTTAACAGATTGTCGTCAATCTACCTTGATGAGTGGTCCTCGTACTTGCTTTAGTTGGTTCAAATCAAGAAATCCGTGAAAAACTCGATTACGAATTTAGCTATACCAGCAGCTCCCCCACCGAAAGCTCCCAAAGCAGATAGTCCAGCAAGTAGTGGACATTCTCTACTGTTTTCACTTTTGGCGATTCTCAATCAGGGTCTTTTGAATGATGGATTTCTTAACAGATTGACGTCATTCTACCTTGATGAGTGGTCCTCGTACTTGCTTTAGTTGGTTCAAATCAAGAAATCCGTGGAAAACTCGATTACGAATTTAACTATACCAGCAGCTCCTCCACCGAAAGCTCCCAAAGCAGATAGACCAGCAAGTAGTGGACATTCTCTATTGTTTTCACTTTTGACGATTCTCAATCAGGGTCTTTTGAATGATGGATTTCTTAACAGATTGACGTCATTCTACCTTGATGAGTGGTCCTCGTACTTGCTTTAGTTGGTTCAAATCAAGAAATCCGTGGAAAACTCGATTTCGAATTTAACTATACCAGCAGCTCCTCCACCGAAAGCTCCCAAAGCAGATAGTCCAGCAAGTAGTGGACATTCTCTATTGTTTTCACTTTTGACGATTCTCAATCAGGGTCTTTTGAATGATGGATTTCTTAACAGAGTGTCGTCATTCTAGCTTGAGTGGTTCTAGCACTTCTTGGTTCAAATCAATAAATCCGTGGGAAACTCGATTACAAATTTAGCTATACCAGCAGCTCCTCCACCGAAAGCTCCCAAAGCAGATAGTCCAGCAAGTAGTGGACATTCTCTACTGTTTTCACTTTTGGCGATTCTCAATCAGGGTCTTTTGAATGATGGATTTCTTAACAGAGTGTCGTCATTCTAGCTTCAGTGGTTCTAGCACTTGTTGGTTGAAATCAATAAATCCGTGGGAAACTCGATTACAAATTTAGCTATACCAGCACCTCCTCCACCGAAAGCTCCCAAAGCAGATAGTCCAGCAAGTAGTGGACATTCTCTACTGTTTTCACTTTTGGCGATTCTGAATCAGGGTCTTTTGAATGATGGATTTCTTAACAGATTCTACCTTGATGAGTGGTCCTCGTACTTGCTTTAGTTGGTTCAAATCAAGAAATCCGTGGAAAACTGGATTACGAATTTAACTATACCAGCAGCTCCTCCACCGAAAGCTCCCAAAGCAAATAGTACAGCAAGTAGTGGACATACTCTACTGTTTTCAGTTTTGGCGATTATTAATCAGGGTCTTTTGAATGATGTATTTCTCAACAAATTGTCGTCATTCCAGCTTGAGTGGTTCTAGCACTTGTTGGTTCAAATTAACAAATCCGTGGGAAACTCGATTAGAAATTTAGCTATACCAGCAGCTCCTCCACCAAGAGCTCCCAAAGCAGAAAGTCCAACAAATAATGGCACAAAAGTTAGGATACATGGAAAGTTGTTTTTTTTTTCTATTGCAAGTTGACCTTACTTAGAATATGGATATTTTATGATTTTCTCAATTGAAATTAAAACATTAATGGAGATCGAAGGTTATTTGAAATTCATTTTCAGCTCCCTTGGAAGTATATGATCATCGACGAAGGCCACAGAATGAAAAACCACCATTGCAAGCTGACGCAAGTCTTGAACACTCACTACACCGCTCCTCATAGATTACTCCTAACCGGTACCCCATTGCAAAACAAACTGCCAGAATTGTGGGCCTTATTAAATTTCTTGTTGCCCTCAATTTTCAAAAGTTGCTCCACTTTCGAGCAATGGTTCAACGCCCCTTTTGCCACCACAGGAGAAAAAGTGGAACTCAACGAAGAAGAAACGATTCTGATCATTCGACGTTTGCACAAAGTGCTGAGGCCTTTTTTGCTCAGAAGATTAAAAAAAGAAGTTGAATCTCAATTGCCCGACAAAGTCGAATATATTATTAAATGCGACATGTCTGGGCTACAAAGAGTATTATACAGACATATGCAAAGCAAAGGTGTACTATTGACTGATGGATCAGAGAGAGGTAACAAAGGCAAAGGTGGAGCTAAAGCTTTAATGAACACAATCGTTCAGCTACGAAAACTATGCAACCACCCTTTTATGTTCCAGCACATTGAGGAAAAATGGTGCGATCACGTTGGAATTTCAGGTGGCGTTATTTCGGGGTAAGTTTTAAGCAGCTCGACTCTAATTCGTCATAATGATGTAGAGCTCATTGCAGTCCAGACATTTACCGGGCTTCTGGAAAATTCGAGCTGCTCGACAGGATTTTGCCCAAGCTGAAGCCCACCAACCACAGAGTGTTGCTGTTTTGTCAAATGACTCAACTGATGACTATAATGGAAGATTATTTGACTTATAGGTATAAGTAGGCTGAATTCAATAAAACCTAATTAATTAATGTTTGTTTAGAGGTTTTACCTACTTGCGGCTAGATGGTACAACAAAAGCTGAAGACAGAGCTGATTTACTAAAAAGATTCAACGCCAAAAATAGTGAATATTTTATTTTCCTTTTATCAACAAGAGCCGGAGGTTTAGGTCTCAACCTTCAAAGTGCCGACACGGTTGTTATTTTCGACTCAGACTGGAATCCGCATCAAGATTTGCAAGCCCAAGACCGTGCCCATCGTATCGGGCAACAAAACGAAGTCAGAGTTTTACGTTTGATGACCGTCAATTCAGTCGAAGAGCGTATCTTAGCTGCTGCCAGATACAAATTAAACATGGACGAAAAAGTAATACAAGCAGGAATGTTTGATCAAAAATCAACCGGCTCTGAACGGCAACAGTTTCTACAAAGCATCCTTCACCAAGACGGCGACGATGAAGAAGAAGAAAACGAAGTCCCTGATGATGAAACTGTCAACCAAATGGTAGCACGTTCCGTTGAGGAATTCGAATTGTTTCAAAAACTCGACTTGGAGCGGCGCAGGGAGGAAGCCAAACTTGGCGCTTTACGCAAACCTCGCCTCATCGAAGTTATAGAACTTCCAGATTGGTTGATAAAGGAAGACGATGAAGTCGTCGATCCTTGGAACTACGACGAAACCGATGTGATAATGGGACGCGGCACTAGGCAAAGAAAAGAGGTTGACTACACCGACAGTCTTACAGAAAAAGAATGGATGAAAGCAATTGACGAGACTGATGATGATGATGAAGAAGAGGAGCCGAAAAAAAAGAAACGAGGCAAGAGGCGTAAAAGGGAAGATTCTGACAGCGATGCAGGGCCTAGTACGAAAAAGAAAACACGAGGCAAGAGTTTAGAGGAGAGCAAACTTAAGAGGCAAATGAAGAGGTTGATGACTATTGTGACAAAATATAATGATAGGTAAATTGATTTATATAAATTTCTTAATTATTAAATGATTAATTTACTTTACAAGTGATGGTCGTTTGTTAAGTGAGCCTTTCATGAAACTACCTCCACGCAAAGACTATCCAGACTATTACGAGGTAATCAAAAAACCCATGGACATAGTGAGGATTTTGAATCGGATCGAGGACGGCAAGTATACGGAAATGGCCGATTTGGAACGGGATTTCATGCTGTTGTGCCAAAACGCGCAAATTTACAACGAGGAAGCTTCACTTATACACGAGGACAGTATCGTGTTGCAATCGGTATTTACTAATGCCAAAGCCAGGATTGAGAACGACGGAGAAGAAAAGCAAGTATTATTAGAGGTAAAATGATTTTTGTTTAGTTTTCATTTTAGTAGTAGGGTGCTATTTTGTGATTAAGTCGATCTGGAAATGAGTTCTGTGGGGGGCAAAGTATGTCACAAGCTAAATTGTTGATGTATAATAATTTAGAGATTCTAAAATCGGAGGTAATGCAAAATAATAATCAGGTTATATTTAGCAATTCGATACTCCACAATTTATACTTTGAACATTTTAAACTTCAAGACAAAATTAACGATATACTCTTCTACAGATCTACAAAGATGTGAATGAGATGCTTGGAGAAGATAGATGTGGCATGTTGTATATACCAGGTGAATAATAGTCTCTAACTGCTCTGCTAACTTCACCCTTATTAGTAACACAATGAAAGCAGGATCGCTAACAGGTTCCTGCTTGTGCTACTATAACCCTGTCTCATCCTGCTTCAAATCTGATCTCGGCAACACGTACTTTTATTTTGGTTGTTAACTTCACTCTTGGCAATACACTGGAAGCAGGATCGCTCAAACATGTTCGTATTTGTGTTGCTATGGTCCTGCCTTATTCTGCTTCAATTTTCACCCCAGCAACACCTAATATTTTTGGAATACACACTGGTACCATTTCAAGAGTCTAGTCTTAGGAATAGGAAGACCTCGAGACACCGTTGCCAAATATATCGTAATGAGTGTTTGTATTTTAGACGAAAAGAGCTAATCCAAACTAACCCGTCTCTCTAAAATCCACCATACAAAGACTAGCATACAATACAGAGACGAACGGGTTAGTTTGGATTAGCCCTTTTCGTCTAAATTACCAACGAACAAAGAATAGCACTTAGTCTTAGTATGAGGCCAGGTTTCTTTGGAATATCTCTTTTCGTCTAAAATATCAACATACAAAAACTAGCACTCAGTATGAGGACGAGTTAGCTTGGATTAGCTCTTCTCTACTACCTAATTAATGAGTTGTCCAAGTACGATTCTGATCTGAAAATGAATGAGTTTTTGAACTAATAAGTAAAATTCACTCAATTAACTGAACAGTTTATTGATGAATGAACCAGAGTAAGAAGTGAACTTCACTCATTTTCAGGTCAATATTTCATAACATGTAAGAATAGAGTTCAAGGAGTTGAAAGGCATCTTTTTGATTGAAAAAGGCCCTTGTGAAATATTGTTTAGAGGCAGCAAATTCAACTTTTTAGAGAAAACCCATGAATGTTATTCAACATTCTCAAGTTCTCGATGCAAAATGCAAAAGCTAATATTGTAGAATTGAGCATACAATTGAAAACATTGTGTCTCGAGCAACTGCTTATTAGCCACATGAAGATCAAACACGTAGTACCTACCGTTGAAGATCTTTATAGATACGTCTAGTTTATGGACCGTATTCCTGTAGATTAGATTGTTCTTATCCTAATTCTAAATGTATTGCAGTAAGACTTTTGTACAAAAAGTAACTCCACTATTTTATGAAGAAGAAAACTGTTCTGAACCGCAAGCAAAAACTCATTACATTTGTCGTTCAAGTACGATTTCGATCTAGAAATGAGTGAGTTTTTGAACTAATGGCTTCATTAAACAATTTATTAATGGAGGAATCAGATTAGGGAGTGATCTTAGTGGTGAATATGATAGCCAGAAAATAATGGACTGGATTCTGGGTCGTATTGAGAAGGTGATGCGATGTAGAGATGGACTTACACGTTTGATGGAATTGAAGATCGCTTCTGAACCTATCCAACGTGAATATCCCATTGAAATGGAAAATAATGATATTTCTCCTTCTCCTTCAAAGAAAAACGAGCAGCTTTTTGGAGGAGAACATCCGGAAGTTTAGCGGATTGTTCAAGAAAATCACCCCAACAAAGATATGGTGGATTTAAAAAGTATCTATAGTAGCCAAGATGGAAAGTATGTTGCTACACAAGTACAACAAGATCGGGGCGAAAATAGACTGTTTTATGTCATTTATACTGATAATTTTATTGAGCTTCTTAGTATAGCTATTTTTTTAAATTTTAAAAGGAAAGTTTTCTATTTTCTAGGTTTCCATAATTTTATTTAAATGAAATCGTAACATGTTTCAGCACAAGGTGTCTTCTTCAGAAGGAATTTCGTCTGAAGAAGGAGCTCTTGTTGTTAAATCTACCAATGAATCAGAAGCAAATTGATTGTAGATCAAGATTTAAGAAAGTATAGATTATTAAAAAAAAAAAACCAGAAGCTCAAGTAAAATCTGGAGAAGTTGAAAAGTCAGAAGAAATACTGTATGAAGATAGCAATTGTTGTACATATATATATTAAAATGTTTAATGGTTACGGATCAATGCACAACCTTAAAGATTTATCTGACTTTTCAACTAATAAAAGACTATTTACCCATTGGGTCGGATATTCAACTTTTTGAATTATATTCTTGCTTTGAAGAGAATCTAAAGTTTCTTTTAATTTTTTGTGCTATGACAATGGTATTTTACGCTGGGCTTGTATAACAGGTTTAGCATTCTCTGTTAGCTTAATAGAGCAGAGACTTATTTCTCCCGTTTATACCTTCAAAAACTTTTTGAAATGACTTATAAATTTGCTCTCTGGTTTTTGGTAAAATTCCAACTCTATTAATCCAGGAAAATAAGCCAAACTTGAGACAATCTTCGAGACCAAGAAGAGGTTGAGTATTAGAATCTACTATTACAAACTAACATCATGACACATATTCTTGTAGTAACATTCTAAAGTAATAAGACCTACAGGATTTAACCTAAAATTACCGTGAGACAATAGGGTAACATTTGTCTGTGTCATTGGTTCAGGACAAGAGATTTCTAAATAGATGTTAATAGGTAAAATACTACAGTCCGCTCCTGTGTCAAGTTCAAATTTTACCTCTGTATCTTCGACACAAAATACCTCAGACCATGCTCGTTTTCCATTTTTAGTACAGCATTCATTTATAAATAATACGTCATTTTGGATACCCTCGCCATCAGATCAGAGTCGGATGCTTCTTCATATTTTACTTCTCGTACATTTTTCTCGAGCTTTTTCTTCATTGTGTAACCACTTTTTTCAACAAAATTATGAGGATCTTCTTCACTTTTCAAAGCTTTGCATGCTTTTGCAAAATGGCTAATTTTCTGGCATGCAGCACAGGTCTTACGAAATGCTGGACATTGGTTTGGAAAATGTTCATAAAGACATTTAGCGCATTTAATTTTTTTATAATTTTTTTGGATTAAATTAACTTCTTCCTCAGGGTTAACTGTTTTTAGGTGTTTGTTGCTGAGAGCCATTGACTTGCAATAGTCCAGGATCTTTTAAGTGTTTAGGTCTGGCTCCCGGATCAATCTGGCTTGTAATTGCTTTATTACATAGGCCAACAACCAATCTGTCTCTCACCCTTTGTTCTGAGTAAGGTTCGTTGCAATTTTGATTTTTGCATACAAAATCGCAACTTTTTGCCAGATTTCTCAGCTCAGTTACAAAACTTTCAATGGTTTGATCCTCTTTTTGATGCAATTAATTGAACCTAAATGCTTCCATGGAGATGCAACATTTTAGCTGAAAGTGAGCATCATAGGCCTCCAATAGTTTATCAAGAATGCTTTGTTGGTCAGTTGTAAATGTATTAAATAAATCCAGACGATAATCTCCAATATCACTTAGCAAAATAGCAATTTTAATATCTTCTGGTTTATTATTTTTTCCAAAAGCATTCAAAAAAAAAATCAAACTTTTGTACCTATAGAGTTTCCAACACTTAAAATTGTTTTCAGTGAGGGGGCCTGGTGGTTTTGTAGTGAAGCTCATTTTTATTTACTAACAAGCGTTTTCACGAGGAGGATAGCTTTTTAGTATCTGCCTAACACGTTTTGGGGTACAAACTAGGGAACCAAAGGGAAAAGGGAGCTTTTGCAATCAAGGGCAGTCTTTTCCATGTGCGAACTAGGGCACTGCTTCACTTTTTTCTGTGTTATCGAGGGCACTCTTTTTCTATGCAAACTAGGGCACTTTTTCATGTGCAAACTAGGGCAGTATTTGAGTCATCACACCTCTGACACCATGTTGTATATGGGTTCAAACTAAGTAATACAATAAATTATTAGGTAGAACTGTATATTTAAACCATGAGATCAGAGATTACAACATGAGTTGACCACAGAACAGAGTTGACTCACTAACTGGACTGACTGACTGACTCGTCATCAGGTGGTGTCTTTGTTAAACTACTCACAGCAATAGAAGTGAATATAGCGAAAATATTGTTAGAAATCTGGTCCTAATACACTGCCTTGGGAGACTTCTATTTTAAAAATATTAGGATCACTTAAGGTTTCACCAATTTTTGTTTCCTGTGGCTTATTAGTGTTGAAAGAATTTCAATACAATATCCCTTATCTCATAGTTTTTTAAAATATTAAGAAGATCGAATATCATGGATATACACAGTATCAAATGCTTTTTGCAAGATTTAGAAATGCTGTAGTAGGCATTGCTTTTATCTTAGTTCTACCTATGTCTGTGCTTCACGTAAAAAATTGACTTGAAAATGAGTGAATTAAAGGAGTAAATTTCACTCAATACCTACTTTGATTAACTCATTAGAAAACTGCTCAATGAATTGAGTATTGAGTGACTTTCACTCAATTAGTTTAAAAATTCACTCCTTTTCAGATCAGAATCGTACTTGAACGACTCATCGATGAGTTATAATTGCTACGGAACTCGCACCGCTCGTCCTACAAGGTTCAACAGTGAGTTAAACTCTACGGAACGAGCGAAGCGAGTTCTGCAGAATTTCACTCAACAATAAACTCTACCAGTTGAAGTCTCTCTAAACTCTTGATCATTACCGGTTCTTAATTCTCTAAAAAAGTAGTTCAGCAAATCAAGAGCCTGTAATAATTCAAATTTTGATTTTTACTGGTTTCTTGATTTGCTTTGCTTGGGGGGGTTTATTTGGAATGTGCAATTCAAATTCGTCTCACTAAGCAATTTTTGATTTAGTTTTGTCACACTTAGCCTCCCCACAGAAAACCTATTTTCGATTGACAAGCACTCTACTATGAGGACTTTTGTTCAAACAAATAAATAGAGGTAAGAATTCAATTAGGTTTTATTTGAATTATTTTATATGTAGGTAGTTGACCCAGCTATAGAAAATCGCTTCAATTATTGACAAATTGTATTTGTTTCAGGCAGACGACGATTCAGCCAACAAGTCAGACTCTGAACTATCCGCAGTAAAAATGAAAATCAAATTGGGCAAAGGTAAGAAAGTTTCGCCATCGAAACGAAAGAGGATTTTCAAAAAAATTAATTCCGATGACGAGGACAACGATATTGGTAATTTTTAAACTTATTTGTGAGTGAATAATAATTGTTGAAATTATTAGAAGTAAGGTAAGCACTCTTTTTGCTCATATTAGCCGCAATAATAATAATTTAGAAGTTTTATTTTAATATAGTCGGATACCTCTTTTCTCATCATTGTTCAGTTTATTTTTATTCACCAACAATTATGTGATTATTAATTGTGATACTAAAACAAGAGGTATCCTTAAACTTATTTGGTGCCATTAAATTGGATGTGATTAGTTTGTTTAAGTCGGTGCTCAACTTTGAATAATTTGTTCCTTTCTTGCACAAATTCCTGGTTTAATTTGTTGTTATTAAAATGTAAAATTTGGCTGTTTTCTTAGCTTATAACACTTGGGCTTAAACGTTTTACTTACCTGTATTAGAAATGGTGTAATAATAATTCTGAAATAAATACAAATTATTGTTTTATTTTAATGGAACTAATCTTCCAAAAAACTGGGAGAGTAACTGTAAACTATCTATATCTGATATTTTTATTTATCATTATTTTACCACTACAGCGTATCGTATGAATATAATATGTATGTCCCTGTAAGATACAATTATTAGAGTTACAACATGAAACTTTATCTACTACGCCACCTTAAAACTATTATTAATAAATCAAAGTCTGAAATAAAATTAAAAAAAAAAAAAAAAACGAAAATCTATTTTGTTCAAACATTATAGATTGCAACTATCTGGCTAAAAATACAAGTTTATGAGAAAGGTGTATATAAGGCTATTGTGGCTAGGAACTTCAGCTAAGGCCTTTACTATGATATTTGGAATATATGTGCCCTTTCTCTTTGAAAAACAAATGTGCAGCGTAGCTTTAAATTTTAAACTAATCATCATCATCATCGTCAGAAACATATTTCTTAACAACCCTCTTGGGTCTGCCTCTTTTCCTCTTCTCTTTCGGCTCTTTTTCCTTCTTTTTCTTGGGAGTTGGCTCCGGCTCTTCCTCTGATTCCATTTTATCATCATCGTCGGAATTATCAACTTCAATTTTAGACCGAGCATTAGAAAATACCGACTGCATCACGATGCTGTCTTCGTGGATGAGCGAGGCTTCCTCGTTGAAGATTTGCGCGTTCTGGCACAAAAGCATGAAATCACGTTCCAAGTCGTTGAAGTCGGTATATTTTCCGTCGTCGATGTAGTTCAGGATTTTGCTTATGTCGATCGGTTTTTTGATTATTTGGAAGTATTCCGGGTACTCTTTGCGGTTGGGTAGTCTCATGAATTGGTCGCTCAACTGTCTTTCATCCCTAAGAATAAATGTCAAAAATATATTAAATTTATAGGTGTAATCTGATATTTTTTCGATTTTTTTCAATTTTGACACGGTTATGAATATGTGCAATGTAATTTAAACAAATTTAAATGAAATATATATCACATTAAATACTCTACAAAACTGTGTTGAATTGGTTCTGATAGCACTTGAACTTTTTGAGGTATTGATATTTAAAGTTGCTTCAATAGGAATTTTGTCCAAAAATTCAGAATCAATTTTTTCAAATAGTATCAATATCAATGTGAGGATGATAACCAATAATAGTTATTTTTTTATTTATAAAAAGAACTAAAATCCCTAAAAATTTCATCTCAATATCTCATAAAGGTTTCGAGATACAGAAGTTTAAAGATTTCAAAACAAAACCTCAAAGAAAAAATAACAAAAAGTCATTCAAACAAAACAGACCCTGAATTGAACATTTATTGAAACAATGGAAAGGAGAAATGAATAGAGGAAATTGAGAAAATAAATTCTTTCTTTTTCTATCACAGGGCCTTAGTCTTGAGTTTTCCTTCTTTGTAGTACGGCAGCTTAACTAGGATATTTCAACATATTGTGCACTTTTTGTTTGGCACACAGGTAGACCGATGTAATATGAACAAATTTGGATGTGGAGCCATCAGCCAATTGGCCCCTCGGCGGCCGAGGTGGCGACTTTTTAAAATGACCGCTAGTGGACACCCTGAAAGACAAAGAAAGTAAGATAAAGTTTGCTACGAAGGTTCTAGTGAACGTTTATTGATTGTGAATTTGAATGAAAAAATGCCAGATGGTTTTTAAGTTATACAGGGTGGGGCACGAAAAACTTCCCACCTAGGTTTTCTCAGGTTTTAGGTGATTAATCAAAAATCGCTCGACCATTTAATTGGTATTTTCACCCCCCTACCTGTCCACACCTATGCGGGGGTTACAGGTTCCCCCAAAATTCAAAATTGAGAGGAGGATCGAGTGATACGTCATTTGTTGGAAAGTTTTATCATATACAGTGTGCGCCATAAAGTTGGCTACATATGGGAAAATTCTTAAATATTCCTTTTTTCAAAAAACTTTTTTTGGGGATCGTTAGGGCATGTTCGATAACCAAAAAATTGATTATGACACATGTCATGCGATTGTCGGTTTAGCGGGAATTTTCAAAAAAAGTTGATATTGATGTCGAAAAACGGGTAAATTTGGCAAGATATCAAAAAATTTTATAAGAAAAAGTTGTTCAGAATCCAAAAAGAACTCCACATGCCGATTTTGAAGCAAATCAGAGAAAAAAAATAAAACTACTTATTTTACCAATACCATTACATAAATGGAAAATCGAAAATATTAATTTTATTTCAAAAATAGGTTTACTTAACTAAACTACATAGGTTTGACATCAAACGAATCGATGGTTTTGCGAAATACACACTTGAAGCTCATAAATTAGAAAATACCGTCTGGTCAAGTCGCTATAACTGTACCCATGTCCCTTTTTGCAGATTTCTTGGTCATCAGAAAAATAACATGACATGTGTCATAATCGATTTTTTGGTTATCGAATATGCCCTAATGATCCCCAAAAAAAGTTTTCTGGAAAAGGAATAATTGAGAATTTTCCCATATGTACCCAACTTTATGGCGCACACTGTATAATACCACAAGAGAAAAAATTTTGTTGGCAAAATTTTCGACTGGTATGAAAGTTTGTTGTTCATGAGCGAAATTACCAAAAAGCAACAAACTTGAATAAAACCAAGAGAATAATTTTGCCTACATAATTTTTTCTTGAGTGGTTTTCGGCTGGACTATTACAAGAGAAAAACAAGCTAAATTTTCATTTGGATTTTTTTTTTTTTAGGTGACACTTGTCAAACTCAATAATTTTTTACCTCAATGTTGTCGCTGAAAAACCATCATGTTGGTTTTGCCCAGGTAGGAACAGGTAGAAGTTTTGTCAGTAGGAAACCGGCCGTTCCTATAACATTTTGCCCATAGAGAAATATAATAAACCAAGGTAAGAGTTACCGATTCATATGCGCGAAGTGGCAACGTATTTTTAGTTGTTTCTTGTAGCACATGGTGTCGCTACCATAGCTTGGAACTATCTGACAATTCTGATATCACCTTCCATTCTTAAATCTATCTCTTTTTAACAGATGCGATAATAAAGGAATAGAGGACAAAGGATTTTTTATTATAAAACGAAGAAAAAACATGACATTTTCATGACATGTTCAAAAACAGAATGTTCAGAACTGACAAGTAAACCCAAATCTCAATTTATTAGTTGATTAAAAATACATGACTCTGGTAAGATTTACAATGTGAAAATGGCTCAGTTAATGCATAAGTAATGATAATTATTAAATACTAACCTATTATTAGTAAAAAGTGAGAGGTTTTGGCTGTTTTTGCTTTGTTTTATTGTTTTCTTGCGGTATTTGTATAATTTAATTTTTATTATTCCTTTAAATATATACAGGGTGTCCCACGAGGTTCCTCCCAAATGACCATTTCGGAACGCATCATCGTATGTTCCACTGTATAATTTTCTGTCATATCCTTTAACAAAGCCTTAACAAATATGGCATAGCTGATTTTGTAATTTAATTTTCTAACGGAAAATACCATAATATACCATGAGTTACATTTAAGATTCGAAAGTTGACGTCACTTGACCGAAATTGAAGCAAAAATGGTAAAATTGGATGACAATTGTAGAAGCGGCACAGAAAGTTACCCAGATCCTCAAACTTTCAATTATATTGGATGACGCGTTCCGAAGTTATCACCTGGGAGAAACGTCGTGGGACACCCTGTATATTCCTTCACGGATATTTCTGGTTTATTTATTTTTATTTCCAGGCCTGCGTTTTTCCGCAATTTTTTCGAGTTCGAAAGTTCGAAAAGCCCGCCAAATGTTATTTAAGTTGGTCTTGTAGTGGACGGTGGCGCTAGTATCGATCTGACGTCATCGCGTTGCCAGTGTCGTACCACAGAATCGGTAACTCTTACCTTGGTTTATTATATTTCTCTATGATTTTGCCAGTGTAAAACACTAGTGAAATAGTCAAGATTATATCCTCGAAATTTTAAGTTGCGGTAGGGTAAATAGTCCCTGCCGAAATGGCGGCTTGTCAAAGTTAGGAAGTATGTAGTACATTGAATCACTCGAACCCCATTTCCATTTTAAATTTGGCGGGTAGAGGGTGAAAATACCAATAAAATCTGTACCCCAAAAATTGACGTGTCTGGCCAATTTTTGATTAATCACCTTACACCCGAGAAAACCTAGGTGGGAAGTTTTTCGTGCTCACCCTGTATAATTTACAAACTATCTGGCATGTATTCATTGAAAACAATCAAGAAACATTCACTAAAACCTTCAGCAGCAAACTTTATCAAACTTCCGGGGTGTCCACCCGCGGCCATTTTGGATAACCGCCGTCACGGCCGCCAGGGGGCAGTTGGCGGATGGCTCCACATCCATATTTGTTCATGTTACATCTGTCTACCTTTGTACCAAATTTGGTGCCTTTATCAAAAAGTGCACAATAGGTTAGCCAATCCGCTGTACTATTGGAGAAATTCAAAAGCAAACATAAAATCAAAAGAATAGAAAAAAACTGAGAACAAAATTCTCTCTTTTGTCCATTCCAAGCTATTGAATTTTCCCCTTTTGGAAGAAAACTTGGAACCAAGAGCCTGGAATAGACAGAAATTGATTTGGACAATTTAAGAAATGGAGATCAAATTATTACCTGTCAGTATAATTAATAACGACGCTCATCAACTTCTTCATCTTCCTCCTAAGTTTCGCCTCGCTAGCCGCCCCAGTCGGTTTTCTCTTCCTCTTTGAAGGCAACGAATCATCTTCATCCGACTCGTCCCTTTTCCTCCTCTTCCTGCCACGCTTCTTCTTCAACTTCTCCTCCTCCTCTTCATCATCATCGTAATCTCCGTCTTCGTCGATCGCTTTGAGCCACTCTTTTTCTGTTAAACTATCGCCGTAGTCCACTTCTTTTCTTTGCCTGGTGCCTCTGCCCAAAATGACGTCATCGTCTTCGAATTTCCACGTGTCCACTTCATCGTCGTCCTTTACGAGCCACTCGGGAAGCTCTTCTTCTTGAATTAAGCGACTGTTCATTCCAACGTTGTCCTCTTCGACTTTCCTGTCCACATCCATTTTTTGGAATAGTTGAAACTCGTCTTCATTTCTAGCAACCATTTGGTTGACAGTTTCGTCATCTGGCACTTCATTTTCTTCCTCTTCATCCGTTCCATCGTTGTGCAAAATTGCGTGCAAAAACTGTTGACGTTCTGAGCCAGTGGATTTTTGATCAAACATTCCAGCTTGTATAACTTTCTCGTCCATAGTCAATTTGTATTTGGCTGCAGCCAAAATACGCTCCTCAACTGAATTAACTGTCATCAAACGTAAAACCCTAACTTCGTTTTGTTGTCCGATCCTATGGGCACGATCTTGAGCCTGCAAATCCTGATGCGGATTCCAATCAGAGTCGAAGATTATAACAGTATCCGCGGTTTGTAGATTCAACCCCAAACCGCCTGCTCTTGTCGAAAGTAAAAACAAGAAAAAGTCGCTGCCTTTTTCGTTGAATTTTCTCAATAATTCCCCTCTGTCCTCGGCCTTGATTGTACCGTCCAAACGCAAATACTTGAATCCTCTCCAATTAAGATAATCTTCCATTATAGTCATTAGCTGAGTCATCTGACAGAAAAGCAACACTCTATGGTTGGTGACTTTTAGTTTAGGCAAAATGCGATCTAGAAGCTCAAACTTGCCAGAGGCCCTAAACGTATCAGGCCCTGTCATAATGCCTCCATGAATACCAACATGCTCGCAATACTTTTCCTCAATATTCTGAAACATAAAGGGATGGTTACACAATTTCCTCAATTGCACAATGGTGTTCATCAGCGCCTTCGAACCACCCTTGCCCTTTGAGCCATGGCCCCGTTCAGAACCATCAGTGAGCAAAACCCCTTTACTTTGCATGTGTTGATACAAGACCTTTTGCAATCCACTCATGTCACACTTGATAATATACTCAACCTTTTCTGGCAATTGAGATTCAACCTCTTTTTTCAATCTTCTAAGCAAAAAGGGCCTTAGAACTTTGTGCAAACGACGAATAATCAAAATCGTTTCTTCCTCGTTGAGTTCCACTTTTTCTCCTGTTGTGGCAAAAGGGGCATTGAACCATTGCTCAAATGTGGAGCAACTTTTGAAAATTGACGGCAACAAGAAGTTTAACAAGGCCCACAATTCTGGTAATTTATTTTGCAAGGGGGTACCAGTCAACAACAATCTATGTGGTGCCAAATAATGAGTGTTTAAAACCTGTGTCAACTTACAATGATGATTCTTCATTCTATGACCCTCATCAATAATCATGTACTTAAAAGGCACTTTCGAAAGTACGCTTTTATCCTTAATAATATACTCATAAGTAGTAATCAAAACGTTAAACTTAGCTGCTCTCATTTGAGTTTGTATGGTGCGTCTGGCTCCAGGAGTGCCTTTATAAGAAATTACTTGTACTGAAGGGGCCCATTTTTCAAATTCCAACATCCAATTTGACATTGTAGACAGGGGCACTATAATCAAAAATGGCCCCATTATTTTCTTCCTTTCCATCAAATGGGTAATCAAGGCAATTGTTTGAATGGTTTTACCTAGACCCATCTCATCAGCTAAAATCCCATTTAAATTGTTGTTGTACAAAGACACCATCCATTCGAGGCCTTTGACTTGATATTCTTTGAGTCTTCCATTGACCATTATTGAAGCTTGCTCTGTTACCATTTCATGGACAGTATGGGCAATCGAGTAGTAAGTTTGCTCTTCCTTAGCGTTTCTCTGATATTCGTCATCTTCAATTTTAGCTTTTTTAATTATTTGTGTGGCTTCGTCGTCGTCGCACTCCTCATCTTTATTGTTTCTATTGTCATCGTCTTCATCGTCTTCGTCGTCGGTGTCAATCATTTCCCATCCAGGATGAGATTTGAGCCATTCTGGAAGTTCTCTGAAGGTAGGGGCGTTTTCGCCTTTGACTTTTTTGCCAGTGGCAACTTCAATTACGATTACTTTACGGTCAGGCTCTGCCATTCTTTGCTGGCGCTTCTTCCTTCTTTCTTCTTCTCGTTTTTTGTAAGCTTGCTCTTCTTTGTGCTGTCTTACCATTTCAGTTAAGCTAGCAATATATTCGTCAGTTTGTGACAATAAAAAGGCCAAACGTTTGTCTTTTTTCTGGTCAATCAATTTCCTGTAGCCTTCTTCGTCTTCAGCCATCAACCGCCTCATACGTTCCTTTTCAATCCGTTCCTGCTCCTTCTTTTGCTCTCTTTCAGCATTGGCATGATAATTAAGTATAGCCTTGTTGACTCTAGCAAGTTTTACTTGTGTAGCCTTATGGAATTCCCTAAACTCTTTAGCATGTGTCAATACAGAATTGAGGAATTCTTGATTCTTCTGCCTGCGCTTTCTCTCAGCTTCTAGTTTTTGTTGTTTTTCCAATTTTTCAGTTGCTCTTGCCTCTCTTAGACCTTGCCTTTTAGTCCTCTTATAAGCCTTCATATTAACTGCAGTTTCCAATGTAGTATCTCTTCTAATGCAGCCCAAAATCTCGTTTCTGAGTTGTCTTTGGAAGTTCAAGCAACGCAACGCTCTCAATTCAATTTGGGCCTGTAAACGCAACTTGTCGCTTATATCAGAAGGCAAATTGCTGACTTGTTCAATTCTAGCAGCGATTCTTGCAGCAACACGATTTTCTCTTTCTTGTAAAAGTACAATGGGATCGATACCACAAGGTTTAGGCATTGTAGTGATTCTGGTTTGTTTGCCTGCGGGCACCATTTGGCCTCCAGTAGGTCTTTGTTGGGGTTTGTTCGGATCGGCCGGGGCTTCGCCTTGTGGTTGATCTTGCGAAAAAGGACTGGACGGAGGCGTCGGAAATTGCGGAGTACCATCGGCTCTTTTACCTTGGAGTCCCATCAAAACTTGATGCGGCACCGGCTGATTTCTTGCCAAATATCTATAGGCCATAATTTGATTTCTCAACTGGCTCATTTGGATACCACTCAATACGGAATTGCCTTGCGTCTGAACAGTACGAGCTCGCAAAGCAAGCAATTGCGAGTACCTCTGGTCGTCTTGCATGCCTTTTTCTTCCATCGTGTCGATGGCTTTTTGCAAGGCGTTTAGATTTTCCGAAGTGGGGCCCGCTGGTCTAGGACTTTGTCCGGGGGGCGGTTGTTGTTGCGGAGGTGGACCTGGCGATGTTGGGTTTTGTCGCTGAGGTGGCGGATAGCCTGGATAAGGTTGTTGTTGAGGCGGTAGGCCTTGTTGAGGCGGTAGGCCTTGTTGAGGCGGTAGGCCTGGTTGAGGCGGCGCACCATGCTGGGGCGGCATGGAGTGAGGCGGTGGGCCACCAGGGTGCTGTTGTTGCGGGTGGGGTGGGTATTGGCTTGGTGGTGGACCTACTTGTGGGTGAGGTGGGTAGCCTTGGTGGGGTGGAGGGTGCTGAAAAAGATTATTGTTTCAACAAGGAGTAAAATGGTTTGTATAATTTTGAAAATTTCCAAGCCAAGATCATTGCAAAGTTGGTATAGAATGAGTCCAATGGATTATTTATTTGTTTGAAGAGTAGCAGTATGCCAATTTTCCAAAATTTTCATTGAAATACAAGCAAATCAAAATAAATCATACACTATTGAAAAGTTTGATAGCTCAAGAACTTTCTGAGCAATTAAGTTGCAAAGTTGAACATTTTCAATTAATCAAAAATTACCAAACTGTTTGCTTCAATCCTCCTTTGGGTGATTTGAAAATGTATTTCTGTTTTCTACTATTATAATTTTCTGCATACAGTATTTCATATATAGATTGATTTGGATCCTGGTGGGACACCCTGTATAGTTTATTAAATTCCACCAAAAAATCACATCAAAATTAGAAACACTGATAATGTAATAAAGACAAAAATCATTATCATAATCTGGTGAAGATAAATTGAGCAAATGGACAATAGAATAAGTACTGAGGGTGTTTTGGGTAACACAATTTTTTTGTCCAAGGAACACAAGAATACTTTTTGTCAATGATACAAGCAGCCAGAAAATGTATTAATAATGTACAATACTAGGACCAGAAGATCATGAAAAGGCACAATTTTCTTGATTTTGTCTATTCTTCTTCCTACTGAGATGAGTACCTAAACAGTCCTTATGCTTTATAGTCCTATAAACATCAAATTATAATCTCTCATTCCAAATATCTTTTATACATATAAATAGTTTATTAAATTCTAAAAACATATCACAACAAAATTAGGTGTTCTGAAGTATACTACACATAAGAAATCCTTATGTGAAAGGAAAATTATCAAAATTTAACCAAGATAAAGTGAATAAATGGACAATGGAATCTAAGGATTCTTTTGAGACTTTACAAACAAGAAAAGTTCTTATCAATTGTTCAAAAAATTTAATGGTAATGCAGAGTACCTACTAAAGGTACCCCTACTAGAACCAGAAGATCAAGAAATGGTACAATCCCTTTGGTATAGTGCATTCCTTCTGTGATGAGTACCTAAACTAAATGTTCCTTACATAATATAGTTTTACAAACATCAAATTATAATCTCTTATTCAATTTTAATATTTTTCCACCTATACCTAATTTATTAAATTCCAACAATGTATCACAGTAAAATTAGGAGCTCTTGAGTGTGTCCTAAACATAGGAAATCCTACGGTAAAATGATTTAACCAAGGTAAAATGAGAAACTGGACAATGAAATAACTACCAGGGTTTTTTGGATAAAATAAAGTTTTTTTTTGCAATCCGGAAAGCTTCTTATGAATGGTCCAGAAAAGGACACAATCCACTTGGGTTAGTACTTAGTCCTAGCATTGCTTCTGAGATGAGTGTACCTAATTACCTGGATGTTCCCATAAAGGAAGTGCAAATTAAATTTGATCTTTCTTCAAAAATAAAACTAACTACAAATTTTATTCTGGTTCTTCCAATTTCATAAATTTCTTATAGTCTAAGAGCCCGTGACACAAAAGCCTCAGTCATCTGTTAAAAGGCCGTTTTTTGGTGGCCCGGTATGCCAAGTCCTCGGTCAACTAAAAAACGTAATGGTTGGCAGGTTTCGGTGTGCAGAAAGTGAGGGGTGGATGTATTTTCACTACCCCAAAATAAAGCTTTCTACCTTATGAGTCAGAAGCTTTTTTTTCTGTTATGAATAAATAATATGGACCTACTGAGGCCTGAACAGGAACGGTTGGCGGGCCTTCCCCCCCTCTTCACCATGCACACCGCGTTTTAAGTGAGATTCCCAAGGGAAGTTCCTACCTCACAAGTCAGAAGGACGAAAAAAGGTGGAAATTATACATTTCCACTTCCTCGTCCGTTCTGCGCTGGGTTGGCAGCCCGTTGGCGCTCTATTGTTCATTTAAACATATGTTTTTACGAAATTGAAGTTGTTTTTTTCCTCGATATAATTTGAAGACATCGTGGAGGTTTTTTCAAATCAAATCAAATCAAGCACACTTTTGATTTAACTGCTAAATATTTTGGGAAATTGGAGAAAAAAAAAAACATCAGCTAGGGAGTTCTGTAATTTTCGTTTATATCGCGAAACCAAGCTAAAGCTAAGCTAAACCATAGTGAAGTCGATTTTTGTTGATATTCTATAAGGTGTTCGCTTCGCTTCCGCTTCGTTTTCCTAGTGTCACACGACTGAATTCGAGTTTGAACGACGTATGCATAAATAATTATGGCAAGTAGATATCTGAGCCCAAAGCAAAAACTGTAAAAAAAGAAGAGAAAATCAAAAGGAACATACCCCAAATTTGGATTTTGATTATTTTGAAACTTCAATGACATAATTAATCATTCCTATTTTTCTTTCTATAATATTGATCTTGCATTTTTCATATTATTGTGTGATGAAAATGTTGCCAGTACAATTTGTTGTAGGTATATACAGAGCTCGAGCAAAGAAATCAACTCAGGTTAACACGAGAAGACAGTAGGTTCCTCCGAACAATGAATAAAAAGACTGTATATAATACCCTAGATATTTGAGCTAGAAGTGGCCCATTTGGTTTAACAGATAGGAGGTTGAAACGGATGTTTTTTTTGACCTTTTCTCCATGTTGCACAGTCAAAATTATAAATAAATTGATGAATGAAATTTGATAAGAGTGAAATTAAATTGTGCAAGCAATGAAAAATCAACATAATGAAAATCTCGTCAAGATCAAAACCAATAATATAACCCGTAATTTTCTAGCGTGACGATGATCGACCAATCTCTATGGAAATTGGAAATTTTTCAGTGGAAAGCGAAACAAAACGCAAGCCAAAATTCATCGCTTTCGCTTTGCAATCGGCTTCTATCGGATTCCCCGATTCTTCCCGAAAGATGTTATAGAATAGCAAACCGAACAAAGCGTCCCATAACGAACGTCATTGTTTCGCTTTGAGCTTATAGAATCCGCCCCTAGCAGAATTGCCTTAAATTGGACATGAACATACTTTCAGGGGCGGATACAGGTAGGGGGCGCGCGCCTCCCTGAGAGTCTGAAAATCTACTGGAAAGAGTTTTGAGTAAAACATTTGAAAAAAAAAACATACTTATTCAGAAAAATTTTCCAAGAATTTTCCAAAAAATTTTATATAAAAAATTTCCAAAAAGAATGTTAGAACATTTTTCAAAGCTGACACCATTGTTCAATTTTTCGTTTTGTTCTTATCAGATAAATTTGTATTGCGTATTTTTATTTTGAATAGGTATTTTTATTATTTTCCTTTTTTTGATATTATGTACTTACTGAGTACAGGGTGGTCCAATTTGATATACCACCAAAACTGTGAAAGTTTTATAACTTTTTTAAGTACGTCATTGGATTCTGCTTGAAAAAGTACTCTAGAAATTTTATACCTACATGAATCAATTATTTTCATAAATAAAATAAAAAAATATTTGTGCAGTACACACCCAGTAGAAGTCAAACCTTCAATAAACTAAGCTGAGAGAGAATGAGATACACAAACTAGGTACAACGCTTGGTAGACAAGAGTGGGGAGGCTACAAGGCACTGCACAAAAAGGAGACGAAGAATAGAAAACGCTGTACAAAATTATTCCATCTTATTCTCTAGCTGGCTAAATCCCATAGATCTATATGTTTGTCTCTTTTCAGTGTCGCTTTTTTGGTTTATCGAGTCGAGTCTCAAATCACTCCCAACGATTCTGAAGAAGTTTTCACTTCAAAAGTGATAAGGTTTCACAGTATTGCTCAAAATCCAGAAACATCCTCTATAATGAAATTTGATCCTTAATGGGGGGGGGGTCATTTTTTTGTATCTGGTCTCAGAAATTTACGTTTCTTATCAAAAGTGTCCAAATTGGAACACCCTGCACATTCTCACAACGTATAAATAAAGTAAAAATAAATGTTTAAAAAATTATTTTTCATAATTCATAACCTGCGCCCTCCCTGACCAAAGTATGGGTATAGTAGATAATCGATCAAAGAATTTTGCCGAGGTTTATGCCAAATTTGAGCCACTCTGATGTGGGTTTATTTAAGCCATTCTAATGTTTTTTTTTTCTCCTTGCAGAAAAAAAAAAGAAATGTGTGTATTATTTTTTTTACCCATGTAAAATTTATAAAAACCCCCACTTTAGATTATGGCGAGGGAAAATACAACTTCAATTTCGCAAAAACATATGTTTAAATAAACAATAAAGTGCCAACCGGCTGCCAACCCAACGCAAAACGGACAAGGAATTGGAAATGTATAATTTTCACTTTTTTTCATCCTTCTGACTTGTGAGGTAGGAACTTCCCTTGGGAATCTCACCTAAAACGCGGTGGGCATGGTGAAGAGAGTGGGAAGGCCCGCCAACCGTTCCTGTTCAGGCCTCAGTAGGTGCATATTATTTATTCACAACAAAAAAAAGCTTCTAACTCATAAGGTAGAAAGCCTTATTTTGGGGTGGTGAAAATTCATCCACTCCTCAGCTTCTGCACACTGAAACCCGCCAACCATTACGTTTTTTAGTTGACCGAGGACTTGGCATATCGGGCCACCAAAAAACGGCCTTCTAACAGATGACTGAGGCTTTTGTATCACGGGCTCTCGTAGTATTAATAATAAATACTATACCTGTATAACTATTTTAACTATACAAATATAAATATGGTTTATGCACTTCAAGGATTAAAAGTACCCTCGAAAGTACCCTTCTAATCCCTGTTTTAATGGAGTAAAGTGGGTCATTTAATCCTCGGGATTAAATTTTACTTTTTTTCCCGGGGATTAAATTTTTACTTTATTTCCCAGGGATTAAATTCTACTTTATTTCCTGGGGATTAAAAGTACCCTTTTACTTCCTGTTTTACTTATTCCCCGGGAAATAAAGTAAAGTGCATAAAATAGTGTATACACCTCAGGACTAAAGTGTTTTTTAATCCCTCGACAAATTATAGCCCTCCCTTCGGTCAGGCACTTTAGTCCCTAGGTGTATAATGCACTATTTTACCATAAAATTTAGGTATACACCTTGATTGTCGTAGCTCGTGCATTAGAATTCAACTCGATTGCAGGTGGATTGATAGAGATAGCATCTAATCCACCACCAAGCATGGGCTACGTAAATCACCCTTTTTTAATTTAATTACCTATAATAACATTAATAATAATCCTCATTGTTTTTATCTTTATCTGGTAATGAGATTGTTTTGTTAGACAAACAAATAAATAATTACAAAAAAAGTTACCTGTGGATGACCGGCAGGTGGATTCTGTTGAGGATGAGGTGGCCCATGCCCTGCAGGAGGCGGCCCGTGAGGCTGATGACTCCATCCCTGATGGTTCTGAGGCGGCGGATACCCTTGCTGAGGGTGCGGAGGCCCCTGCATCCCGTGAGGCACCTCCTGAGGAGGCGGATACCCTGCATATTGTTGATGCCCTAAAAACAATACTTCAACTTGCAATTTTTTATTTTGCTGAAAATTCTAACCTGGTCCAGGTGGAGGACCTTGCTGAGGTGGAGCCCCTTGGGGATAAGGGCTTTGCGGTGCTGGAGACGGCGGTGCCGGACTGTGAGGTGGAGCCCCCATAGGGCTCGGAGCCTGAGGTGGGGGCATGGGGCTGCTAGCTGGCGAAGGACTGGCCATTGTTTGGCTTATTCTGAAACAATTTATTTCTGGTTTAAATGCATGCATGGGGAAGTAAAAAATGTTTTATTTTGTGACTATGCCAACAACAACAAGCCTACTTAAAGCCTACACAAACATTTACCTTTTTGCCAATTAGGGTAGAAGCAAGCCCCTCACTATACACCAAACATGGGCCCTAATTAGAGCTTTAAAAATAAACAAATTAATTATTTAAAAATCAATAGTAGCAATAGAAAACTGAAGCCAAAAGTTTCCCTTGAATGAAAAGGGAACGCTACTAGTGCTGCCCTCTACCTAACTAGCGGCCATTTGCAAATCAAAAATGTCAAACGTCCTTGTTACTTTGCTCGAGCCAAACAAGGATGCAATAGAAACTTGTTGCCAACTTCACTTGTATATTTATCAAAATTACAACATAACCTCACAAAAATTAAAAAATTCGGCATTTTATTTTGTTCTTTGTGTAAATTATTGTTTATTCCAATAAAACCAATTTTTGTTAACTAATTTATCCATCTAGACAAGGTGAGTGATCAAAATAATCCCACACACAAATAAAAAACAATTTTTTTTACAAAAGAATGGAGTCAAACGACCAACACTCAGACGCCTCCTCGGACAAACGAAAAAAAATGTCTTGCGGCTTGTATTTCGACGCCCCAAAGAACCTTAAAGAAGCCATCGAAATGAGCATCAATTTCGGCTATCATTTCTTGGTAACTCAACTTACCCATCCGAGTTTGGTTGAGGATTTCGACGGCCCTGATGCTGCACACGTTATTGGTAGAACCGATAGGATTTTAAAGGCAGTGGAATGGAATAGGCTCATACTAGGCGAGTTGTCTACTAGCACAGATGTGGACAGTGAAGATATTGAAATTCAAAAGTCCAGCAGAGCCACGTTGGAGCAGGAGCTCGGGTTTGCTTCCCATTTGGGCCTTCCCGCCATCCTAATCTATCTCACAAAACCCAAAAACATACAACTAGCTAGAATTATAAATGAGAGACTTGTGTTAGGGTTGCAATTAGCTGTTTGGGTGCAAGTAAGAAGAGGCTATTTTATAATTGACTACAATTTAATATAAACTTTTCAGATTCCAATTGTTCATGTTTCTAGAGAAAATCCTATGGGGGAGTCTGAACATGATACCTGGGATTGGTGGAATGATTTTCGCACTTATTGTGACTACGACAAGCGTTTGAGGCTGGTTCTTGAAATGCCCAGCATTAAAAATTGTCCTACGTCTGAGGAATTAGATAGATGGGTCAGTTTAGATATATATTAATGTGTAATGAGGGTTGTAAAGTACATTTTCAGATTGCTCATAAATACCTAATTGCTTTAAAAGTTATGCTAATTATGTATTTTTAATTCCTTTCAATTCCTCACAAAAATGTTTATGTAAATTGAAATTGGGTGCTCTATTTTTCAATTTTTCTGTCTCAATTTTTATCTGTTCCCGGCTCTTGAATTTTGAATTTCCCCCAAAATCTCACATTTGCGTCTCAAGTAGTTTTTGAATAAATGGTCAAAATGTAGAAACATGTCATATTTAGTCTCGTATTTCGTCCTATAGAAGAAAATGTTCATTTTTAAAAATCTTGTAACTTTGTAATTTTTTGTTCAATTGATTCAAATTTTTAGTATGTTTTGCCTCCTAAGCCTTAAAAATATTTTCTCAAAATCTCATATTTGTGCCTCAAGTAGTTTTTGAGTAAATTTTAAAAATGTAGAGGCATGTCATAGGTATTTAATCTTATAGGTCTTATGAAAGAAAATGTTCTTTTTTGAAAATCTTGTAACTTTGAATTTTTTGGTTCGAGTTATTTGAATTTTTATTATGTTTTGCCTGTGGGCCTCAAAAATATTCCCTCAAAATCCCATATTTGAGCCTCGAGTAGTTTTTGAGTAAATGGTGAAAATGTAGAGGCATGTCATATTTAGTCTTATACCTTAGAAGAAAATGTTCATTTTTAAAAATCTTGTAACTTTGCATTTTTTTGTTCAATTGATTTGAATTTCTAGAATGTTTTGCCTCTGAGCCTCAAAAATATTTCCTAAAAATCTCATATTTGAGTTTCAAGTAGTGTTCAAGTAAATGAGCAAAATGTGGAGGCATGTCATATTTATTCTTACGGAAGAAAATGTTCATTTTTAAAAATCTTGTATTCTTGTAATTTTCTATTTAATTGCTTTGAATTTTTAGTATGTTTTGCCTCAAAAATATTTCCTCAAAATCTCATATTTGTGTCTCAAGTAGTTTTCGAGTAAATGTTCAAAGTGTGGAGGCATGTCATATTTAGTTTTATAGAAGAAAATGTTCATTTTTGAAAATCTTGTAACTTTGTAATCTTTTGGTTCAATTGATTTGAATTTTTAGTATGTTTTGCCTCAAAAATATTTCCTCAAAATCTCATATTTGTGTCTCAAGTAGTTTTCGAGTAAATGTGCAAAGTGTGGAGGCATGTCATATTTAGTCTTATAGAAGAAAATGTTCATTTTTAAAAATCTTGTATTCTTGTAATTTTCCATTTATTTGCTTTGAATTTTCAGTATGTTTTGCCTCTATGCCTCAAAAATATTTCCTCGAAATCTCATATTTGTGTCTCAAGTAGTTTTCGAGTAAATGTTCAAAGTGTGGAGGCATGTCATATTCAGTCTTATAGAAGAAAATGTTGATTTTTGAAAATCTTGTAACTTTGTAATTTTTTGGTTCAATTGATTTGAATTTTTAGTATGTTTTGCCTCTAAGCCTCAAAAATATTTCCTCAAAATCTCATATTTGCGCCTCAAGTAGTTTTTGAGTAAATGGGTCAAAATGTAGAGGCATGTCATATTCAGTCTTATAGAAGAAAATGTTCATTTTCAAAAGTCTTGTAACTTTGCAATTTTTCTTTTAATTGATTCCAATTTTTAGTATGTTTTGCCTTTAAACCTCAAAAACATTTTCTCAAAATCTCATATTTGGGCCTCAAGTAGTTTTTAAGTAAATGATCAAAATGTGGACATAATATGTCATATTTATGCTTATAGAAGAAAATGTTCATTTTTAAAAATCTTGCAACTTAGTAATTTTCCATTCAATTGATTCGAATTTTTAGTATGTTTTGCCTCTAAGCCTCAAAAATATTCCCTCAAAATCTCATATTTACGCCTCGAGTAGTTTGTAAGCAAATGGTCTATTAGAGGCATGTCATATTTAGTCATATAGAAAAAAATGTTCATTTTTAATATATTTCAACTTTGCCATTTTTCTTTCAAATGATTCGAATTTTTAGTATGTTTTGCCTCTAAACCTTAAAAATATTCCCTCAAAATCTCATATTTATGCCTCAAGTAGTTTTTGAGTAAATGGTCAACAAAATGTGGAAGCATGGCATGTTATAAGGTACCTGTTCCAAATAAGGCCATGTTAAAAAGTTTAATTTTTTCCTAACGCTATCCACCAAGCCCAACAAAAATCTCGAGCTTACATGTGAAGTGTTTCGTTTCTATTACTTGAATATTAACATCAATTTATTTAAATTTTAAAAAAAGTGGTGGTTTTTACATAAAACAAAGACGCTTACCATTGGCCTTATTTAGATCACTATGCTCCTAATAAGGCCAACATGAAAAAATGTTTAAAATGAATATGTACAATGATTTAAAAAGATATTATTTTTTGAGAAATAGTACACAAAATAGAACTTAAACGCTTGCTGCATTCTAAAAAAACAATCATTTTCAGTCCTGGGATGCTGATCTTAATAGGTTTACATACAGCTAGGACAAATGAACCGCAGTTTCTATTACTTGGTTAGATTACAGGCGTTCTAAAACACATCACTTGGGTAATAATATGACACATTCTTTTAAAAAAACAGTATGATGTGAGGTCAATTGAACATTTTTCATATATGGCCTTATTAGGAACATGTTACATTGATAAAAAAAAAAGTCTGTAACTAGAAATTTAGCAAAGGTATTATTCTGTACTTACTCTGTAGCTTTCTCGATACATAAATGTCTGTGTAAAAATTACATTCGCTGCATTCACTTCATAAACATGTGTTTAAACTAATCAAGTTCCAGCCTCAAAGTTATAACGTGACATATGAAATATGTGGTTGGCCATTTTTCGACATATAACGAGTTGCTAGGAACCCTCGCAATAATTTTTGATTTGCATATAGATATATTTTTTAATAATATTGTAATTTTTGAAAATATGATTCAATATTAAGTAATAAGGGGCACTGGCCTTATTAGGTACATAGCCTTATTTGGGTCAGGTACCTTATTCTAAATACAGAAAATTCAAGACCTAAGAATAGAAACAACTCAAGAACCTTCAACATTAATTTACAACATTTTTATCATTGTTTAGATTGGCGAACCTGTCAAGGCCTTATTTTTGAGGACGTCCCAATTCCTGAAAAACCAATTTGGAAAACCAGTCTTGCCAAAATCGTATCAAAATATAATCCAAAGATTCATGGCCCTGGACGTCCAGTACATCATTTATTCAGACACCGAAGATTCTGATTTGGGCTCCTACTCAAAATATATAAACTTTTTAGGCAAAAAATTGTACTTTTGCAATAATATGGCCGACTTTATAGAAGGGTAATAATTTGATTATTGAAAATCTATTAATATTATTATTCAATATTGTTTTAGCTGTGAAGATTATCTCCAAAATCCTTTGCAACCTTTAACAGAACATTTGGAAAGTACCGTTTATGAGGTATTTGAAAGAGACGCTACCAAATACATCAACTATGAAAACGCAGTACTAAGATTATTAAAACATTGGAAAGAACCACGAGAACCTGTTATAATGGTAGTCGGTGCAGGCCGAGGCCCTCTAGTCCAAGCAGTTTTAGATGTATCGAAAACCTTAGACTTAAAATGCAAAGTTTATGCTATAGAAAAAAACCCCTACGCAATGAATACTCTAGTACATAGAAACAAATATGAATGGGACTCTCAAGTGACCCTAGTCAAAACTGATATGAGGTCTTGGGAAGCTCCTGAACTTGCTGACGTTTTAGTATCAGAGTTGCTGGGGTCTTTTGGGGATAACGAATTGTCCCCGGAATGTTTGGATGGGGCCCAAAAATTCCTCAACCCCAAAACTGGTGTTAGCATACCCTCTCAATACACCTCTTTCATTGCCCCGATACAATCCACGAAAATCTTCAACGAAATCAGAGATAATAGAATGCCAGATAAAACACTTAAGCAATCTTATGAGACACCTTATGTGGTGCATTTAAATAATTTCTATCAGTTGGCCCCTCCTGAGGCTTTGTTTGTTTTTGACCATCCAAACTTTACTGATTGTCCAGACAATAAAAGATACAAATCAATACGGTTTCCTCCTATTAGCAAAGCAGCAGTTCTTACAGGATTTGCAGGGTTTTTTGAAACTGTTTTGCTCGATGAAGGGTCTGAAGAAGGGAGTAAAGTAATGTTGTCTACTAACCCTGAAACACATACACCTGATATGGTATCTTGGTTTCCTATAGTCTTTTCATTGGCTGTGCCAGTTCAATTGAAGGCAGGCGACGTTGTCAGGGTGTCGTTTTGGCGCGAAGAAAACTTTGAAAAGGTTTGGTACGAGTGGTGCTTGGAATCTCCGTGTAGGACCCCTATAATGAACGTCAACGGAAGGTCTTATAGTCTCAAGAAAAAATGATATTTGTTTTAATTTTAGGATAGCTGCAAGGGTGGGTGCCCTTACAGAATTATAATAAATTGTAACGTTGAGATCATTTCTTATTCTTATGTGTTTACCGTTAGAATTTTGTGTTATTTTTTTATTTGTTCTCGTACTTTACACATATTTTGTGCAGCAAAGGAGTATAAAACAAAACTTATTGTTACTCTTACTATATAAAATTTTTGCATTTACATGTTTTGCTTTTTTTTGTAGGATTAGTGGCGATCATTCCAATCTTTAGCTATAGAAATACAACTTTAATTTCAGAAAATTCATTCAAGCCATTGGAAATCAGTAAAAAATTATTATTCTTTTTCTACGAGCGTGCGGGAAGAGATTTCTTCCCTTTTTATAAATACCTTTCAATACATTTTTAATTCTACCTTCTGCACAATCTGCATTTTATTTAAAATAAACTTCTCGTAACATCAGTTTTAGTATGCTCGTAGAAAAAATATAGTTCCTAACTCTTGCGGGAAGAAATTTCCGGCATTCGTTAGGAAAATAGCTATTTCCAAATTTTAGGGCCACTTTTCTATAAGGTTTGGGCGAGTTTGAGTACAGGGTGGCCCGTTTAAGAGGGGCCTATACCTTATCTCGAAATCTACAAGAGCTGTAGAAAAAATTTAAATACAAAAGTTGTTTCTGATAAAATTATCCACAGTTTTTTTGTCTAATTTTGCGCTAGAACTGAAGATAATTGCCAATCATGCCGAAACGGTGCATCACAGACCCATTTTAAGTATATTTCCAGTAGGTATATCCTTGAATTTGTCGGTTGATGGGCTATCCAAATACTTATAAATTTACAGGAGGTCCCATTTAAAAAAATTGAAAAGCGTAACATTTTGCGAAATGTAGCAACACCGCGGTTTTTGAACAAATATTTCAAATTTCAATATCAGTTGGAAGAAGAGCAATAATTTATAAAAAAATATCATGCATAACAATGACTGTGTGTAATAAAATTACCCCAAAGCCTGAAGATAACCGCTAATAAGTTCGAAACCGTATATCGCAGATACATGACCAGTATAGGTATCGTTGGATTTGTCTTTCAAAGGGCTATGTAAAAATGTATTAAAATAGGGTGTTCCATTAAAAAAAATGAAATGTTATTTGTCTACCCTGTATACAGGGCTTAGATTATATACAGGCTACACTGCCTGTATATAATCTAAGATACAGGGTAGTCGTTATGTATGGAAACGGTCTGATATCCCAGAACCGGCTTAAAAAAAGTTTACAACAGGTCTGTTTCTGCAGAAATCACAAACCAGAGTAAATTTCATTGGTTGAAACTAGTTTTCAGACTGTTTCTGACAGTGGCGGCTCGTGACTATTTCAAATGAAGAGGCTAAAAGATTTTCAGTGATTTTGAGTAGATCTTATGAGTTTTTCCAATATTTCAAATTATTCCATGGGAATTCTGCGAAAATTCTCGTTAATTCCATAAAAATTCCTTAGAATTTCACTAGAAGATTTTATGGAAATCCTCGGAATTCCATTCAAATAACAAATTTGAATAGAAAAACAGAAAGTCCTAGAAATTTTATCATAAAATTTCGTAATACTTTTCCGAATTCCACCATAAAATTCAATGGAATTCTTGTACAAAAATTCCTAGGAATTACAGTAGAAGATTTCATGAAATTTCGACAGAAATTACTCAGAATTTTACTTAAATTTAATTCAAGTTTTCGGAATTTTTCGTGGTTCCATGGAAATTTTACGGAAAATTCTGTTTAATTCCGAGAGAATTTTTCGGTTTCGATATAAATTCACTGGAATTCCACAATAAGATTTCAAGGAATTCCATGTACGACTATTTCTTGGAATTTGTCCAACATCGAACACAATCCTCCAAATTCCCCATAATTTTTTTTCAAATTCCCTATAAATTCCCCAAGTTTTTAACAAAGAATTCCAAGGTAGTTTTGCCTCTTGGAAAATACAATCTCACACTTTCAAAGTTTTTCTGGAAAACTAATTGGGGGAAAAACCTCTCAAAGATTTCATCAAAGTTCTTTGGAATTCCATTAAAATTTTAAATTATTCCATGAAAATTCCGCGAAAATTTTAAATAATTCCATAGAAATAAATACCTTAACATTTCATTAGAAAATTTTATGGAATTTTTGGACAACATTTTTTCGGAATTACAGTATAGGATTTCATGAAATTCCTCAGGTCCTCAGAATTCCACTAAGATTTCAATTTCAAAATTCTATATATTTTTTTTTTTAACTTAAAAAAATTTTACCACTGAAATATCTTGGAATTCCACACAATTTTCATAAAATTCTACGGAATTTCATGTAATTTCTTAAAAATTTCTCGGAATTCACTAAAATTTTAGGAAAATATTCACGTTCATAACCGAAAATGTCTCGAAATTTCAAGGAATTTCCAAAATTTAATTTATTTTCATAAGAATTTTTCGGAATTTCACTGAAATTCTCTTTTAATAGCCAGGAATTTCTGGGAATATTAATGAAGTTTCAAGTAATTTCTTGAAAATTCACCAAAATATATTGAAATTTCATGTCATTACATGGTAATTTTTCAGAATATCACCGAAATTCCATGTTTTTAGCTGGAAATTCCTCGGCATTACTAAAATTCAGTAAAAACTGAAATTTCATGTTGGGAATTTCGGTGTAATTTCATGTAACTGTTTAAAATTCCTCCATGTAATTCATTTAGGATTTCGTGTAATTCGATCGGAATTTCACTGAAATTTCAAGTAATTCGAGAGGAATTAAAATCTAATGTAAATTCTATGGAAACTCCGCAAAAATTTCACATGTAATTCCTTTTTCAGAATAACATAATTATTCTACCGAAATTCCACTAAATTATGGAATTCTGATATTTTAACAGATTTTTGGGAATTCCAAAGGATATTTGGGAATTTTAAAGGAAATATTTTTCTGAAATGTCAATAACCTATAAATCGAGATTTGATAAAAACATATGGCAACGCTGCTTATAATACAACCAACTGTCAATGTCAAATTTTTTTACCTTTTCTATTTTTCAAAAAACAAATGTCAGAAAACGATCCCCAGGCTCCGAAAACCCTAAAATAAGAAGTTTCATCGATATATGTCAAAAACCAACCGCCTGACAACGCCGAACGTCTTTTTTGACATATGTTAAAAAAAAAAAATTGGTACTTCCTACGTATTCGCCGAGGCTAAATCTATAAGCCCATGTAGGTTTTTTAAAATTTTGACAGCTGTCAATCTCAAAAAAAAAAAATTCTTTTGTTTTTTCCAAAAAACAAAGGTCAATTTTTAGTGGGTTTTAGGGTGAGACTATGTAGCAACAGTTGGTACAAAAAATTCAATTTCCCGTCGGGTTTGGAATTCGAATTTTTGGCAACACTGCTCATGATACAAGAAACGTCAAAAAATTTAATTTTCAAACCTTGGGTTTTTTTGACAGTCGATACAAAATGACGTTTTTTTGTTTCAAAGATCACGGCCCGAAGGGCCGGAGTATGAAAAATCAGTTAACAATGAACGGGTTCGTTCGGATAAAACTTTTGTCGCACGACACTCTGGCAATATCGACAGATGTCACCTGTCAAATTTGACACATGTCCGACTTTTTCCCCGCTCTACTATAAAAGCTACGAAAATCAAACCCCGATACAAGGCAGTTTCACGACGGCAACTATCAATTTGTGTCAAAAAAAATTGACAGCTGTCAACGTTAAAAAAGTTTTTTTTTTATTTTGTAAATTTCGAGAAAAAAGTAATAAAAAACGATCCCGGACCCCAAAAACCTTAAATAAAAATTCCAAAAAAAAACCAACGAAAATGACATTCCAAAACCTACTTGATAAAACTAAAGTTTTTCTAACTTACCCCGTTAAAACACTGGAAATTTTTGGTGGAAAATGAAGAAACTCAAAGCCTCGTACTTTAAATCGGTTTTCCCGACTGAAAAAGCCCCGGAAAAGTGGAAATTCGAAGAAAAACTGAATAAAAATGTAAAAACGTCAATTGAAAATGGCCGACTGTCAAAAATGCTTCCTTGATTGAAATTAGCCACAAGCGATGTTGCCACATCAAAAGCATTTTAAATGGGATTTTGCTAATTATGGCATTTAAAACTAGAAATGTTTACTAAAAAATGAAGAAAACTCAAAACCTTGTATGTTAAATCGCCTTTTTCCAATAAAAAACTCCGGAAAAGTCGAAAATTCGAGAAAAAAACTGGCAAAAAATCACAAGACGTCACTTTAAAATGGCCAACTGAAAGCAACGTTGCCCCATCACATCTCGGAAAACAAAAATAACATTTAAAAAGAGTTTTTTGTTTAAAATTCAATTTAATAATTAATTAATAATGATTATTAGTTAATTATTAATGATTAAGACAAAGACAACGATAAAGTAGTATATGTTTGCAAAAACCACCGTTTTCTGAAAAAAGTAAAAATCTTAAGAAAACCAACATTCCAAAGTCAATTTGATAAAACTAAACTTTTTGAATATTTCCGGTTCTTTGATTGGGCGCTAAAAATCGCATTTCAAATACTCCAGGTCTTTAATTGGCTCTAAATTATCCGCTGACCAATAGAATTATAGACTGAGTTCCGTGATTAAAATAACTCTAGCCCTTCGGGCTCATATTACTCCGGCCCTTCGGGCTCGCATATAACTCCGGCCCTTCGGGCCGGTATTACTGAGTATTCCAGATTCACAGATTTTTGTCGTGGAGGCGCGAGATTGATTGAAACAATGTTGTCAGATTTTTCTAAATTACATTGAAATATCGAAAATTGGAATTCTGTTGTGTAATTTGTGAATTATTATTTTAATAGAAATCAGAAATAAAAAATTGAGATTGAATTTTCAATTTTTTAGGGGAGGTTTAGCCTCCTCTGCCTCCTCTGACGAGCCGCCACTGGTTTCTGACTGGTTTCAACCAATGAAATTCGCTCTGACTGGTTTGTGATTTCTGCAGAAACAGACCTATTATTTCCTGGGGGTTTTTGGGAAAGCCCGACTCAATGGTGGTATTTGCAATGTTGCCAAGTTTACCCTTTCTTAAATGCCGTATGTAACTTGATTTTTTTAAATGGATACCCCTCTTTATTTTTATTGCAATTAATTCAGCGTCCCAACATTACTAAAACCCCTAAATGCCAAAACTCCGCCATTTTACTTGGTTTATGAAATATGGCAACACAAATTTTTTGTTAAAATATATGGAAACAGTCTCGTATTTCAGAAAAGACTTTAGCAAAATGTACAATATTCCATACCTGGGGGTTTTTGGAAATGCCCGATTCAATGGTGGTATTCGCAATGTTGCCAAGTTTACCGTTTATGAGATTCCGTATGAAACTTGATTTTTTTAAAATGGATGCCCCTACGAGCAGTTACATACGGCATCTTAGGAACGGTAAACTTGGCAACATTGCAAATACCAACATTGAATCAGGCATTCCTAAAAACCCCCAGGTAAGGAATATTGTACATTTTGCTAAAAAAATTTCTGGAATACGAGACTGTTTCCATACATTTCAACAAAAAATCAGTGTTGCCATATTTCAAAAACTAAGTAAAATGGAGTTTTGGCATTTAGGGGTTTTAGTAATGTTGGGACGCTGAATTAATTACAATAAAAATAAAGGGAGACATCCAAAATCAAGTTACATACGACATGTTATAAACAGTAAACTTGGCAACATTGCAAATATCACCATTGAATCGGGCATTCCCAAAAACCGGTAGGAAATATCGTATTTTTTTTCTTAAGCCGGTTCTGAAATATCAGACCGTTTCCATACATAACGACAAGCCTGTATAGTAGAGTGACAACAAAAACAATAGAAAAAAATTGTAGATAATTTTATTAGAAACAACTTTCGTATTTAAGTTTTTTTTACAGCCCTTGTAGATTTCGAGATAAGGTATAGAACACTTAAACGGGCCACCCTGTACATATTTTGAAGTAATTCATTTGAAATTTGAATTTCCCGCTTTGTTTTAATGTGTAATATGACATGTAGACTAATTTTCATCTTTTTCTAACAGCTGTATAAAGACAGAGATAAAAGAATCTTAAATATCCTAACCTCAGAATAATTTAATTATTTTGTTCCAAATTCCAAATAGAAAAATGTAATCAAATAATTATAAAAAATAATTGGAGATTGACATCATCATCCTCCAACGTGTCCGTCCTAATAAAATCATGGAAAAACGAGAAATAACCATAGATGTTCCATGGGGAAAATTAGCAAGTAAGTGAGGCCCTTTTTGCCCATTTGAAATCTTCAAAAATTTACTTTTCAGTTGTATTATGGGGCAACGAAAACGACCAACCAGTCCTATCGGTTCATGGTAAATTGGACAACGCGGCCACTTTCAACGCCCTAATCCCACTTTTACCCAAATATTATTTTTACATTTGCATCGACCTACCAGGACACGGAAAATCCGACCATTTCCCTGCCCATTTACCAATATTCACCTCAAGCTACTTAATAGTATACAAACTAGTAATGGATTATTTCAAAAAACCCAAATACATAATTATGGGGCATAGCTATGGGGGTCAACTAGGCCTGAAATTTGCCCAAATTTATCCTAGCCGTGTTGAAAAACTCATCATGTTTGACACTGTACATTTGTTCACAATGCAAGCCAAATATTACGCACAAGAAATGGAAAACCATATTGAGGAGTTCGTGAAAACTGAAAGGAAACTACAACAAAACTCAGCGCCTCAATATACTTATGAAGAAGCTGTTAAGAAACTCTGCCAAAGCCGTCCTTCTCCTTTACCAGCAAAAGCAGCTGAAATTTTATTGCAAAGAATGCTAAAACCAGTTAACGATGGAAAATTTCAATTCTCCCACGACCAAAGATTGAAATGTTTTATCAATCCCCAACACGACAGCCAATATGCTATAGAAACTTTAAAAAGTGCCCCGGTAAAGTGCCCAGTACTTATTGTATTCGGATTGGATAATGGGGGGCAACGAATGGTTTTGAGGCCAATTTTAAATCACTTGAAAAAGCTTAAAAATGTTAGGGTGGAGTATTTGCCTGGACATCACGATATACATTTGACCGATGCTGATAAAGTAGCTCCAATTGTTAATGAATTTTTAAATTACAAGACCAGCAAGCTTTAAGTATTACACAATTTTTAATTAAGTATATGGGTATTTTGGTAGAAAATATATTTTTGTATATTGTAAAAAATGCAAATTTTTATTGTTTTGTAGTTTTGGAGTATAAAGCCAATAATTAACATCTAATTAATTTTAATATTAATATCTCCAAATAAATCTATTTTTTTTTTGAAAATCGCGCTCTTTCAAGTTTTGACGGAACCACTAGCGTCCTCTAAACAAAAAATGCTCAATCAAAAAGAAATACTGAAAAGCTTATCGATATTCATAGCTATCGATACGATATTCTTTTAATTCTCTCTCAGGGCTTTTTCATATAAGAAAATATCGATTATTCAATAATAAATTATTATTATAATAATGGAAAATTATGGATATTATTGATAATACCGACAAAAAAAATTCGTATCGATTCGATAATTCACCATTATCGATATGATATAAGCCCTCCTCTACTGTCATGGTTGACGTTTTGTCCAATTGAAAAAAATTGTTTTTTTATTATTAATGATTTTCCCAATTTAATTAATAATTAATTCTAGTCGAAAATGTAGTTCCGATTACGTCGTATCCATATATCCAAGCCACGAAAAGTGCTTCTTGAAAATTGCGTGGAAACAAAATAAATATAGTCACTCCATGGTTAACATGGAGAAAAATGTTTGTTTCCTCATTTGAAAACAATAATTAAAGTGCGAATTTTCCATTCATTGGGAAATTCAACTGGAATCACCATGAAACGAAATTGTTGGACTGTTTTCCTGGTGCTGGTTTATTTTGTTTGTTTGCTGTTCCAGGGTATGTTATGAAACTTTATTTTTCCTGTTAATTATTTATAAACATGGGAATTTTTCAATTTGTGGGGCCCCACACAGTCAGAGATGATTCCGTAAGATTTGGCAAGGCAAATGACCATTGTATAATAACCACTAGAATTTACTATTTGTTTGAATTATTTATGTATTAATTAGAATTGATTCGAGAAAATGCTATAGGGCCGAGGGGTTTTTCACCTTGTTAATCGGTGTACAAATCACTGGTTAATATATGTCAATACCAGGTAAATACTATGTCCATAGTGTCAATACTATGCAATACCTACTTGTTAATTATGTAGGTAATATATGTCAATACTTGTAGATATCTAGGCAATATATGTTAATGTCATTGGTTGATACCCATTAATAACATTTTTTAAATACCTGTGGATATGTCAATACCTAGAATTCTGGCAAGACAAATATTTGATTTTAGTCTCTCAATAGCATGGCAATACCTGGTAATATGTGATAATACTATAGGGAAATACCTAGCAATACGTGGAAATATTTTGTTAATACATGGAAATAGTTGGCAATAATTATTTGTTATTAGTTACCGAGGGGGCGATCACTCCCGAAAAATATGTACATGTATTGCGGAAATCCTATGATTTCCAAATGATTGCAGCGATTTCGAAGAATTTTTCTAAAAATTTGTGATTTCGGAGGATTGCGAGGTGATTTCAGTGACTGCAGAGACTGCAGGGGGGATTGCGAACTAATTTTTGAGATTGCGAGGTGATTTTTGGGATTGCAATGTGATTTCTGGGGATTATAAATATGATTGCGGAACATAATTCATTCGATTTTTTTAGTATCTTTTGAATTTTTTGATTTTATTTGCAGTTTTTCATTCATAAGTTTATAGATAGGTATCTACAGGGTGACCCATTTTCCATGTTTTAATAGGCTATATCGAAAACCAGCAGAGCAGAGATATCAAAAATGTGGGAGTACATCCTAGATCTCTTTTTTGAGAAAATAACAATGACGAGGACAAATCACAGCTAACTTGATGTGTTTACGAAATACATCAGGGCACTTTTCAAAGTTTGTCCAATTTTAAGAGCTTCTAATTTTTTCATTAATCAAGATATCCAAAAACCAAAAATACCTACTTTCTTCAAGCAGGTTCATAAGTAGAATCCTGTGGCATGACTATTTTTTTTTTCCAGATGACTCCGATTTTGGAATAATAACCAGTTGTGTTTTTTAAATAGGACACTTCGTATATTATTTTTTCATTGCATAGCTTTTTTTGAGCTGATTTCAATGATATAAGGTTTTATAGCTTTATCTTTATCTTCATTAGTTTTAGAGGAAAAAAATAAATTCCGTTTCTCCATAAGAAACAATGATGAGCTAGAAAGAGATAAGTCATGAAATAAATTATGTGTTGCTTATTCATCATTATCACCCCCAATTATTCATAGTTCAAATTGAAAAAAAAAAAAACTAAACTTGTTGAATTGTTGAATAAGGGGCTGGTTTCTCAATAGCGAGTCACCCCCAAGTTAAGCATAACTCCAGGGTAAACATTGCGACTGGCCAAGCTTACCCTGGCGTTCAAACCAACCCGGAGGTGACTCGCAATTGAGAAACCAGCCCTAAGAATAGAAATTTGAAGCCGATTCATATTTCAATTATCTCTTTCTAATTCATTGCTTCTTACAAAGAAACGGGTTTTTTTTTTCTCGAAAACTTTCGGAGATAATGCTATAAAACCTTATATCATTGAAATCAGCTCGAAAAGAGCTATGCAATGAAAAAATAATATACGGGGTGTCCATTCAAAAAAATACAACTTAACAACAGGGTTACCTATATTATTCCAAAGTCAGTGGCATCTTGAAAAAAAAAAAAACTGGTCATGCCACTAGATTCTACTTCAAAAACAATTTAGCCTTGATTCGTCTTCTCCATTGTTATTTTCTCTAAAAAAAATCTCTGCTGGTTTTCGATATTGCCCATTAAAACATCGAAAATGGGCCACCCTGTACATGTCCAGCTGCCACTTTAAAAACTTGATTCAAGATCATTTTCCAATGATTCTGAAATACGTCCAATATACCAGATGTCATAAAGAGCTGCATAATATTTTTCATTGGATAATGAAATCACATTTCCACTTGTTCCACATCAGATCCAGCATTTGATTCTTCAAAAAAAAAAAAAAACTGTTGTGTGCTGAATTCAAAAATGGGAGCAACAAAAACCTGATGTCAATTATCAATGTACCACAAAAACGGGCAAAATCCCGATCAACAGCTGATTTTTTATCCCCACCAGAGCTGATTTTGAGCGATTTCAGAGATTGCAAAGGTGATTGCATAGGATTTCAGCGATTGCGGACAAAGATTTCGGGACTGCAAGAAGGATTTCGGATATTGCGAACTGACTGCGGGATTTCAGAATGATTTCGGAGATGATTGCAAGTGATTTCAGGCGAAATGTACAGGGTGGTCCAAATTGGACACTTTCTTATGGAAACACCCTTTATTTTCAGAGATAGAAAAAAATGGACCCCCCACTCTGAGGCTCAAATTTCATGAAATCTTGATTGGTGCAAACCGCATTTGGATATCTTCAACCGTTTAGCCGCTAGAGGGTGATTCTCGATTTTGAGCAATACTGTAAAGCCTCCATAACTTTTTTGCTTATGAAAATAATTCATTTCCGTAAAAACCTTCTGAAAGCACTTTTTCAAGTAGAATTCAGTGACCTTCTCAGTTTTTTTGTGTCTAGTTTCGATTTCGAGATATTGACCAAAATCCGATTTTTTTCAATAGGACACCCTATATATTAATAGTTCATTAGAAAGCTATACTTTCGCTGATTTCAATGATATAAATTCGATAGGTTTATCTCTAACAGTTTTCGAGAAAAAACATTATTTCGATTTTCGTCATAAGAAACAATGTGTTGGAAAAGGACTTTATCTCTGTAAGGAAACTGAGAAAGGTCTCTTTCTAACACATTGTTTCTTATGACAAAAACCGAAATAATTTTTTTCTCGAAAACTGTTGGAGATAAACCTATCGAACTTTATATCAATGAATTCAGCAAAAGCATAGCTTTCTAATGAACTATTAATATATAGGGTGTCCTATTGAAAAAAATCGGATTTTGGTCAATATCTCGAAATCGAAGGTAGACAGAAAAAAACTGAGAACGTCACTGAATTCTGCTTGAAAAGGTGCTTCCAAAAGGTCTTTACGGAAATAAATTATTTTCATAAACAAAAAATTTATGAAGGCTTTACAGTATTGCTCAAAATCGAGAATCGCCCTCTAGCGGCTAAACGGTTGAAGATATCAAAATGCGGTTTGCACTAATCAAGATTTCATGAAATTTGAGCCTCAGAGTGGGGGGTCCATTTTTTTCTATTTCTAAAAATAAAGGGTGTTTCCATAAGAAAGTGTCCTATTTGGCCCACCCTGTACACGTATTGCGGGAAGTGGTCGCCCCCTCGTTAGTTACATAGAAATATCTGTTAATACATGGAAATATCTCAGTTAGTACTGTTAATCGGTGTACAAATTTTGTTAGGTGAAAAACCCGAGGAAAAACCCCTTGTATAAGACCGAATTTATAGTCGCTCCTTGAGGTTTCCTCAGGCCTCAAGGAAGCCTTGACCGTTTAGAAATGACATGACTAACTTGCCAAATAGTAGCAAGTGTCTATTCTAAATTGACGACGTCCAAGGAAGAGTCAAGGAACGACTATAAATTCAGCCCATAGTCGCACCTTGAGGTTTCCCCAGCCATAAACGTTTAGAATTGACATGATTTACTTATCAAATAGTAGCAAGAGTCCATTCTAAACTCACAACCCAAGCTGTAAGTTCCTGTCAAGACAAACCTGTCAAGTCCTGTAGGTAATTATAAGGAAGAATTCCTCGAAGAATTCACACCAAAGCAATAAGCAACTACGATACGCAACATAAAAATCGTATACCAATACGACAAGACTCTGTGACAGCAACTAGCAATAGAAATATGCCTGCAAAAGCGGGAAAACGAAAAACGGTGTACTTACTACACCCAAATCACTGAGATACTTCTACAGAATCAAAATTTATTTTTATTAATGTTTACCTGAACTGTTTGCTTCCCTAGCTACTAAATTCCAAGCTTTTTCGATAACTTGGCATTTAGAATAATCTGGGATTGTGTAATC